GTGAACTCGCCTTCCATACGCAGGTTGTCCTGGTACTTGGTGACCTCCGTCCTCTCGCGAATCAGGAAGTCGGTGTACTCGTCCCTGGACCTGTAAGTCTCGATGTTGCCTTCCATTCGCAAGTTGTCTGTACGTTTGACGATGTCCACTCGTTCGCCACGAACAGGAACGAAGTCGTCCTTGGGACGACCTTCGAAAGGCCCTTCGGGTTTGAGGTTGTCCTCGGGTCTCTTGACATCCGCGCGTTCTCCTCTGGTAGGTTTGTAATCGTCCTTGGGCCTTCCAACGAAGTCCCCTTCTGGTTTGAGATTGTCAGGGTGTTTAATCGGAGTTCGTTTCTCGGCAGGTTTAACCGGGGACTTTTCTGGTCTGTCGAAGTCGCCTTCCGGACGGAGATTATCCTGCGGTCTCTTCACATCCGCGCGTTCTCCTAGTTTAGGTGCTTCTTCCTTTGGTTTTCCCACGAAGTCACCTTCCGGTTTCAGGTTATCCGGATGCTTGATAGGCGTTCTCTTCTCAGCCGGACCGATCTTCTTCGGCTGAGGCCTGTCGAACTCTCCCTCGGGTTTCAAGTTGTCCTTGGGTTTCTTCACTTCTGGTCTCTCGGCAGGTCTGTAGCCTTCGTGTTCCGGTCGTTCGAATTCGCCTTCTGGTTTCAAGTTGTCGGGATGCTTTATCGGAGTACGTTTCTCTGCTGGGCCAAACGGTTTCCTCTCCGGTCTGTCGAAAGTGCCCTCTGGTTTCAGATTGTCTTCCGGCCTCTTGACATCGGCTCTTTCTCCTCTGGTCGGCGTGTCCTCCTTTGGTCGTCCAATAAATTCTCCCTCGGGTTTCAAGTTATCTTGAGGCTTCTTCGCAATTGGTCTCTCAGCCGGTCTGAATTCCTCAGGTTCTGGCCTCTCGAAGTCACCTTCGGGTCTTAGATTGTCAGCGTGTTTGATCGGTGTTCTCCGCTCTGCTGGGCCAATGGGTTTCCTCTCTGGAACCTGGAATTCTCCTTCAGGATAGAGGTTGTCCTTTGGCTTCTTCACATCGGCTCTCTCGCCTCTTCGCGGTGCCTCTTCTTTTGGTCGACCAAGGAAGTCGCCTTCCGGTTTCAGATTGTCAGTCGGTTTCTTAACGATCGGCCTCTCGGCAGGCTTGAACTCTTCCGGTCTGGGTCTCTCGAATTCACCCTCTGGTTTTAGATTATCCTCGTGCTTGATAGGCGTTCTCCTCTCGGCTGGACCAACAGGCTGCTTCTCTGGTCTGTCGAATTCTCCCTCGGGTCTTAGATTATCCTTAGGCTTCTTGATAGGTGCCCTCTCTCCGTGTTTGGGTGCTTCTTCTCTTGGTCTACCAATGAACTCTCCTTCTGGTTTCAGGTTATCCTCGGGTCTCTTCACCTCCGGCCTCTCTGCTCTCTTGGGAGAATAATCATCCTTGGGACGACCTTCGAAGGGTCCCTCTGGTCTCAGATTGTCAGGATGCTTCACGATGTCAACTCGTTCGCCTCTCACGACCTTAAAATCGTCCCTCGTTCTAACGTCGGTAAATTCACCTTCCATACGCAGGTTGTCCTGGTACTTTGTCACCTCGGTCCTCTCGCGAATTAGGAAGTCCGTGTACTCGTCCCTGGATCTATAGGTTTCGATGTCTCCTTCCATTCGAAGGTTGTCGGTGCGTTTGACAACCTCCACGCGTTCACCACGGACCGGTTGATAATCGTCCTTTGGACGACCTTCGAACGGACCCTCTGGTCGCAGATTGTCCTCTGGTCTTTTGACGACAGCTCTGTCCCCTTTGGTAGGAGTGAAGTCTTCCTTGGGCTTGCCAACGAATTCTCCTTCTGGTTTCAGATTGTCCGGATGTTTAATCGGGGTTCTCCTTTCCGCTGGACCGAACTTCTCAGGACTAGGACGTTCGAAATCACCTTCTGGCCTCAGATTGTCCTTGGGTTTCTTCACCTCAGGCCTCTCCGCTGGTCGATACTCTTCGTAATCGGGTCTATCGAAGTCTCCTTCGGGACGAAGGTTATCCGGATGTTTAATTGGAGTACGTCTCTCTGCCGGGCCATACTTGGGTTTCTCTGGTCTCTCGAACTCACCTTCGGGTTGTAAATTGTCTCGAGGTTTTCGTACTTCGGGACGTTCGGCTGTCTTCGGGGAGAAATCGTCCTTTGGACGACCTTCGAATGGACCCTCGGAACGGAGGTTATCGTCGTGTTTGATAGGCGTTCTACGCTCTGCTGGGGTGAATGGAGTACGTTCCCTGTCTGGGAATTCGCCTTCAGGGAATAGATTATCAGGATGTCGTACGATGGATAGTCTTTCACCAGGCCCATAAGGAATAACCATTGGCCTTTCGAATTCTCCTTCTGGATAGAGGTTATCAGGATGTTTGATAGGTGTACGTTTCTCACCGGGAGTGTACTCCTCCCTAGGCCGGTCTTCAAACTGTCCCTCAGGACGAAGATTGTCCCGCGGCCTCTTCACCTCCGGACGTTCCGCAGTTTTAGGTGTAAAATCGTCCTTCGGACGGCCTTCGAATAGCCCTTCAGGTCTCAAATTATCCTGTGGTCTTTTTACTTCTGGCCGTTCAGCAGTTTTCGGCGTAAAATCGTCCTTTGGTCGACCTTCGAATGGTCCCTCTGGTCTCAAATTGTCTTCAGGTCTCTTAACGTCAGCCCTCTCGCCTCTGGTCGGCTTATAGTCGTCCTTGGGTCTACCTTCGAAAGGTCCTTCGGGCCTCAAGTTATCTTCGGGTCTCTTAACTTCAGGACGTTCTCCGCGTTTCGGCGAGTAGTCGTCCTTCGGGCGACCTTCGAACGGACCTTCCGGTCTCAGATTGTCTTCCGGTCTCTTCACATCAGCTCTTTCGCCTCTGGTAGGTTTGTAATCGTCCTTGGATCGGCCTTCGAACGGTCCTTCGGGTCTCAGGTTGTCCTCTGGACGCTTAACTTCTGGTCTCTCGCCACGTTTCGGTAAGAAATCGTCCTTTGGACGTCCTTCGAACGGACCTTCGGGTCTCAAATTGTCTTGAGGTCTCTTTAATTCCGGACGTTCGGCACTCTTTGGAGTGTAGTCGTCCTTCGGACGACCTTCGAACGGTCCTTCGGGTCTTAGATTATCTTCGGGCCGTTTAACGTCGGCACGTTCTCCTCTCGTTGGCATGTAATCGTCCTTCGGGCGACCTTCGAACGGTCCTTCGGGTCTCAAATTATCTTGCGGTCTCTTTACTTCCGGACGATCCGCTCTCTTTGGAGAGTAGTCGTCCTTCGGACGACCTTCGAACGGTCCTTCGGGTCTTAGATTATCTTCGGGCCGTTTAACGTCGGCACGTTCTCCTCTCGTTGGCATGTAATCGTCCTTCGGGCGACCTTCGAACGGTCCTTCGGGTCTCAAATTATCTTGCGGTCTCTTTACTTCCGGACGATCCGCTCTCTTTGGAGAGTAGTCGTCCTTCGGACGACCTTCGAACGGCCCTTCGGGTCTTAAATTATCTTCGGGTCGTTTAACGTCGGCTCTTTCTCCTCTCGTTGGTACGTAATCGTCCTTCGGACGACCTTCGAATAGGCCTTCTGGTCTCAAATTGTCCTGTGGTCTCCTTACTTCCGGACGTTCAGCAATTTTCGGCATGAAGTCATCCTTGGGACGACCTTCGAATGGTCCCTCTGGTCTCAAATTATCTTCAGGTCTTTTAACATCAGCTCTGTCTCCTCTGGTCGGTTTATAATCGTCCTTGGGTCTACCTTCGAAAGGTCCTTCGGGTCGCAAGTTATCCTCGGGTCTTTTAACTTCTGGACGTTCACCGCGTTTCGGCAGATAGTCGTCTTTTGGACGTCCTTCGAATGGTCCCTCTGGTCTTAGGTTATCCTCAGGCCTCTTAACTTCTGGACGCTCGCCACGTTTGGGGGAGTAATCGTCTTTAGGTCGACCTTCGAATGGTCCCTCTGGTCGTAGATTATCTTCTGGTCTTTTAACCTCGGGTCGTTCTCCGCGTTTCGGCGAGTAATCATCTTTGGGCCGTCCTTCGAACACTCCTTCGGGTCGCAAATTGTCCTGCGGTCTTTTTACTTCTGGCCGTTCAGCAGTTTTAGGAGCGAAGTCGTCCTTGGGTCGACCTTCGAATGGTCCCTCTGGTCTCAAATTATCTTCAGGTCTTTTAACATCAGCCCTGTCTCCTCTAGTCGGTTTATAATCGTCCTTGGGTCTACCTTCGAAAGGTCCTTCCGGTCTCAAGTTGTCTTCAGGTCTCTTAACTTCCGGACGTTCTCCACGTTTCGGAGAATAATCGTCTTTAGGTCTACCTTCGAAAGGTCCCTCGGGTCTCAAATTATCTTGCGGTCTCTTTACTTCCGGACGATCTGCTCTCTTTGGAGAATAGTCGTCCTTTGGACGACCTACGAACGGTCCTTCGGATCTTAGATTATCTTCGGGCCGTTTAACGTCGGCTCTTTCTCCTCTCGTTGGCAAGTAATCGTCCTTCGGACGGCCTTCGAATGGTCCTTCGGGTCTCAAATTGTCCTGTGGTCTCTTTACTTCTGGTCGTTCAGCAATTTTCGGCATGAAGTCATCCTTGGGACGACCTTCGAATGGTCCCTCTGGTCTCAGATTGTCTTCCGGTCTCTTAACATCAGCCCTATCTCCTCTAGTCGGTTTATAATCGTCTTTAGGTCTACCTTCGAAAAGTCCTTCCGGTCTCAAGTTGTCTTCGGGTCTCTTAACTTCCGGACGTTCTCCGCGTTTCGGCGAGTAATCATCTTTGGGTCGTCCTTCAAACGGTCCTTCGGGTTTCAAGTTATCCTGCGGTCTCTTCACGTCCGCCCTCTCTCCCCAGGTCGGTTTGTAATCGTCCTTCGGCCTGCCCTCGAACGTCCCCTCGGGCCGCAAATTATCCTTGGGCTTTTGCGGTTCCGGTCTCCTAGTAATCGCCGGTACTAGATAGTCGTCCTTGGTGTGCGGCACACCTTCAAACGGACCTTCTGGTCTCAAATTGTCGTCCCGTCTGAACACGGCGGTGCTTCTGTAATCAGTTTGATCGAAACTTCGATACTGTTCCTGCGTTGTCGTGGTACTTTCCACGATATCGGTCTTGCTGTAAAATCGATCATCCTCGTCGTTGTAGGTGAGTCGTCGTCGAGGTTCTCTCTCAACGATGTCGTACGTGTGGAAATCCTCCTTGAGACGAGAGGTACCCTGCGGCAAAATTTGGCCTCGATCAGCGATTATCGCGAGATAACGACAACTGGGCCAACCGAGCCGCCTACGAAAACGCTTTATAAACATCCTCTACCCCTCTTACCGTGAATTCACCCTCTCCCACTGTGAGGTTATCCGTACGTTTGATGATCTCGGCGCGCTGGACGGTTCGATGATCCACGTACTCGGATCTCGTGGTGGTCGCGTCGATGAATTCACCCTCGACCTTGGTATAAGTGTTGCGACGTACCGGGCTTGGACGTTCGCCGGGGGTTCCGGTGAACACCAGCTCCGTGGTGGTCGTACCTGCGCGTACAGATTAGACACGTACTCGATAAGACACGATAATGCTTCATATTTTCCAAGAGTGAAACTTACCGTCGAATGTTCCTTCAGGTCGAAGATTATCCTGGGGTCTCCTGACCGGTGCCCGGTCTCCATACTTCGGAGCTTCCTCTCTGGGTCTTCCAATGAACTCGCCTTCCGGCTTCAAATTATCCTGCGGCTTTTTCACCGGCGCCTTTTCGCCTCTCGTCGGAGCTTCCTCTCTGGGTCTGCCGACAAACTCACCCTCTGGTCTCAGGTTGTCCTGCGGCTTCCGCACCGGGGCCCTCTCGCCCCTCGTCGCCACGTAGTCCGTTCGCCGCTCTCCGATGAAGTCTCCTTCCATGCGAAGATGGTCCTCATGATGGTACACCGTCTGCTTGTCCACGTGCTTTTCATCGAATTCCTGCCGATAGGATGACACCGCGTGCACCGGCTCGCCTCGTGGTATCTCCAGATGATCTTGAGGCAGATTATGAGGGCAACGATGTCGGCTGGAAAATCGAAATGGGAGAAGATAATCGAATGTAGTTCGGTAGTCGAACTTGAGCTCTTCCTGGGTCTAACTGCGCGTCTTACGTCAGAGTGGAATTGTAATTGAGCGTTTCACCGCGGCTCGCGAATATTCATGCACGTCGGCCGTGGTAGATTAGCAGCGTTGGCCCATTGATAAACTGGCGGGTATTACAGCCACGGACGTCACCGCGGTCACGCACGTGATCATTGTCGTACGGGCACGAGTTGCATGTTCGTCGTTCACGATCGCTTCGTTAGATTCCGTGCACACCGTTCGTTGGCTAAGTAATTGAAGCACGCTTGGAAACGGGCGCACGTTCACCGGGTACAGTCGAATTACCCGGCAACTGTCGTTCGTCGCAGAAAAATATTAATCTCCGTGCCATTGTCGAGCTGCACTTTGTTCCTTGCGCGCTCGCTCCGCGCGGCGAATCAGAGATTATGCAGATGCGACCTTGATAAACCGTTTAGTGGCCTGCCATTCGTGGCACGCGTGTTTACGAGTCAAAATCCGATACGATCGTCAGACGCTAATTATATTCCGCTCAGCTGACGCTAATGACGGATTGCTGCAAGAAGCAATCCATTCGGTTCAACGCCCTCCGTTTGGGGGGCGTTCGTTAGGGGTAACAGTCGAAACGGACTCCATTTTAACGAACCGGCTCGCGTTCGTCCAATTTTTCCCACTTCGGTTCCCGAAGCGTCCCGAAGCTTGCCGAACAATGTCTCGCGATATTTATTGTCCAGGAACGCTGTAATTGGTAATCAACGAGCCAAGGAAATATCCACGAGGCCGCACGCGCGCGCTTGCTCGCAGCGATACCGCAATCTCGGTGTCAATTAAGGCGAGTGCAGCTTGTCAAAATGCCAACGTTCGTCCCTCTTTCCGCTCCCTGGCCCGCGTTTAATATCGTTCACTGAACTGTCAGGCTGCGTGACAAAATCAACCACTAAAAATGTATAGCATATCCTACATCGGGGATACCCCGGGCCGATCGCTTCGAAAATGGCGACGGGAGAGCGAACATATTTCGTGGATGCGTTCAGCTAAGCACGTAAGCTACAGCGACTCTGTCCGTTTCGTTCAAAGCCAGCCCATTTGGAAATTGGAAACCGGTCAAAGAGAGATTTCGCAAGCGCGCTGCTCGCGACTCGCATATCGATGCGCTCGGCTAGCTGCGTTCCTGCGAACGCTGGAAAAAGCGGACTGGCAGAGAAAAGGAGGAATAAGACGCATTTGGTAGCACGCGCGCCAAATTTCGATGCAGAACTACGCTTTTCCTCCATATTCCCGGCGCGACTCGCACGCGCGCCGGCCACGTAATCTCGACGAGATCAAAGAATTCCTTTCGTCGACGTTCGAACGCGGCTCGTCCCGATTAATCCGGGCAACACCTCGGAGAATAACGAGCTCTGAGCAATTATCGAGTCGCGGCTTTCTGTTTTAATCGTGTTCGAACGCGTGCACACACGTTAATCGCCGCCCGGCCTGCATAAAATTGAATATCGATTAAAGTGTACCGCCGATAATCGCGGTTCGCGTTCGCTAATTTTATCGACTAGCTGCAGAATCAAATCCAAACAGCACGCCGTTCGTCCCCCCCCCCCCCCCCACCCCCCCCCCCCCTCGTTCGACATGTTTTAATAAAATATTCGCTCGATGCGTTAATTATTTCGATGGTGGGCGCAATCGATAGCGATACTCCTGGTCGGGGAATACCTGACCAATGCGTGCCGGCATGGGGTTGCAGTCTTCGTCGAAGACTCCGCTATCCAACGATCGGGTTTTAGCGAACCATTCGCAACGGAGTGGGATATAGGCTAGTTGCGAAATCGATAGAGCGGAAAAATTGCCAATGTCGAGGCCCTCGAAACAGGGATTTAATCCTTCGCGGTTCTGCTGCTCCCGAGGTGCGTTTACTATTCCGCTCGTATATCTACTCTCAGCCACCAAAACAAAGAACCATTCTGTTCGTACGTTGTATTAAGTCGGAACGGGTTCGAGGTACACGGAATACGCAACGAGCTGCGAGAATTTCGTTCCAGGTGTAATTAATATTTTTGCAGTTCGAATGTATAACCAGGAATAGCCCGAAATGGGAAAAAAATAATTCAGCGAGGAGCTTATACTTATTACAATTTTATAATTTCTACACGCACCGGCTTTAATCGGAAATTAGTGTCTCCGGCGGGACAAAACCGCTGTATTTGACGTTTCAACGGGAGAAAATGGGAGAAGATACCGTGGCAATTATTTTGTATTAATATTCCCGAAGACACGGTAGAATGGAGCGGAACGAAATATTTTTGTATAAAATCGAGAAAGATAATCAATTTTGTTTATTATTTATAGTCTCGTATGATATTATTCACGCTCGTTCGCTGAAAATTAATTTTGACCAGCCCGCTGCCTCTGCAAGGGGTTAACACACACGCGGCCACTAACACGAGTCCGCGTCGTTTCAAATTCCGTTTCCGATTGCAATTAACGCGACTTGGAGGAACAATTTTTTACCTGCCTATACCCGAATAAATCTTCGAATTTTCATCCTCGTCCCGACGAGGATAATCCATGACAACCGCAATTTCTTCCTGCATCGCTCGCGTCGGGCACGAAAAACGTGAAAAAATTCTCGCCTGCGAACGTGTTAAAATATTTCAGAGACAGATAAAGAGACCGCGCGTCAATCACTGCCGACATGAAACCGGAACGGGTTCTTTCATTACCGGTTATCGTTATCGATATTTCAGCGATCTCTCAGATATGCCAGATAAGTAACAGAAATTAGCGGCGAATCGTTAGTGAATCAACGGTAAACGGTGGTTAACGAACTAAATCGGAGCTGAAAGGCAAGTGATCAATTTTTTCCCACTCCGTTGCTCGACGTTGAAGACCTGCGGTTACAAATTGCGGACGATTCTGAGCGTCGACATCAACATTTTGACATCAATCAGCGCGGTTACTAGATACGATAATTTACGACCTCGCCGCGACGCTCGAACCAGCTATACTCCCTCGTCTATCACAGACGACCATCCGATTTTCCACCATCTCCCAGTCGCATTCGTCCGAGCCTCGATCCGGGTCAAGCGTTTCGATCTCTAACGAGAGTTACACTTATTGCAGCAATTTGCCGCACGCTCCAACCGATCCTGTTTACGTTTGCAGGGTACGAGTGGCAGCTCCGAACTTTGGCAGAGGTTCCGTCCTGGAAGGATGAAATTGTTTCGATCGGGTCGGCGAGGAATAATTCCGGAGAGGAGTCGAAGAGGATGAAGAAGATCCTATCGAAATACTCCGAGTTGAACCTTTTCTTTGTGCATGAAGCCTCGACATGGATAGTGAGCCTGAGCAATTGGTATGTAATGAAAGTTACCTTTGATATGAAATAATAGCGCAGTATCGTAGGTCTAAGGACTATAAACTGGGCCATAAAGAAGAAGAGAAGACGAAGCGAGGTCCATCTTGGGTTTCTGATATTTTCGATGACTGTGACATTTAATGGGTAAGTTTTAAGAGAAAAATTAGGGAAAACGAAAGTGGATTCTTCCTCGATATCGATAGACAGTCTGTGTAATTGGTGTGGAATAAAATTCACCTTTGATTTGATATACTAACGAAATATTGTAGGTCTAAAAACCCTAAAACGTGCCATAAAAGAGAAAAGAAGACGAAGGCAGGCCCATCTCTTCATCGACGAATAGTCCACCAATGCGTCTAGGATATTTTCGACGACCGTGACCCTTGATAAAAGAGTTTTAAGGGACAAATTAGGGAAAGCGAGGGACAATTCTTCCTCGACATTGATAGAAAGCCTATGCAATTGGTATGGAATAAAATTCACCTTTCATACAACATAATAGCACAATATAGTAAGCTTAAAAACCCTAAACTGGGCTGTAAAACAGGAAAGAAGACGAAGTCGAGTCCCAGGAAAACGTTCGTCAACGAACACTTCATGCAACCACGAGCCTTAATTCTTTGGTGTTAGGGGAGTTAAAAACTGTCTCACCCTTTGCTTAACTTTTTATGCATCGTGGGACATGTCTTAACACACCTCGAAAAGTGGACGATGTATGTTCTGCAGCACGAGAAAAAAGGAAGCTCGCACTTTCTGGTGCCGTACATTCTGCAGAGTAACGTGTTCCAATGACTTGCATTTAAAACATTAGTTGCATAATGGAAGTATGTCCCACTCTGTAATTCTCTGCAACTTGGGTTCTTATTTTCTTTGAAATCGTGTGCCTCAAAGAGTTAAAAGGGGAGCTTCCAGGGAAAAAATGGAGTAAGCGAGGGAGGATCCTCTCTAGAAGAGCTGTGTCGAGCTCGATAGCGAGAGATCAGAAGAAGTCGTTAAGAGAGTTGTTTGTAATGGTTTCTCTCTTTATATATACACACACACCCATCACTGTTCGACCGACCGCTTTCTTCGTATAATCTGGTTTTAATAATAAATCTAGTTACTACAACAGACTGTGAAAGTGAGGTAATAGGAAAGATGACCTATGCGCCAAAATTCCCTTTTATTAGGGATATTCTTCAAAGGGTACAGGTATGGCTAGAGCCTGTTAGCAAAGGTTAGGTGGTTACGTGGATCGCTTGAGGAAGAGAACAAGTTGCGGAGGAATATAGATGACGGAAAATGTAAACTTTGCACGCGGGATCCAGGTACCCTGAAACATCTAGTTGAAGATTGTTCTGAACTTAGTAGGGCAAGATTTGGTATAGAGAGCAGCTAACGGTAGGCCGAACGACGAGATAATGGAATGGTTGAGACTCGTAGATAGGAAATTAAAACGGAGTCAGACAGCAGAGAAGCTAGATAAATATGGACAGACCTAAGTTAGACAAATGTGAAGTCAGTTTCGTTTATTCTACTGCTTTTTTAGAGCGTGGCTTAACACTAGAGCTACCAAGGTAGTAAAAATAAATTGTTTGGGGTTTTTATTTTCGAAATTATTGGAAACATGCAGCTAATTTTAGCAAAATTAATATTAATTCTTCTGATAGGAGTATAACTATATATACTTCTCTATTTCCGTGAGATTACTTTAATTAATATAACACTATATGTATGTAGATATTACAAGTAGGTAGTTCTAGTGTTAAGCAATACCCAAGAATATTGTAATTTCTAATTGTAAACCTTAGTTTAATATTATTTCTATAGCAAGTAGTGGATGTGATAGCGAGGGTAGTTAATATTAGCAAGATTGAAAGACCAGGCCCGTATTTCCCGTCAATACAGGGCGAAAATAAAATTTATATACAGTGGTTCACGAAAATATTCGAACGCTACACAAATTTTAAGAGCGTACTCTAACTCGAAAATTCCGATTTTAATGGAAGTACACCTGCACGTGAAACATGATGAGTTACACATGGTTGAATTTTTTTTATTTCCAGATATTACTTCGCGTGGGTGAAATCGTTACTCAGAGTTACAGTTCGATCTCCATTTTCGTTTAAATGTAACTATACAACGATACTAGACAAAGAAAAATTTTTGTTTAACTTTTGCTGCTCTATAGTTTTATAATAAAAATTTCTCCATGTGAAATCTCGTTTAAAAAATCAGAAAAATTTTTCAAACTTTAGTCTTTGATTTTACCCCCTCGAAGTCACTTTCTGCCAATGGAAAAATTACCGTGACTCGTTATGCTTCATGTGCGCGAAAAATTTCATTAAAATCAGGATTTTTTCGAATAATTTCGTGAGCTAGTGTATATCAAAGATATTTAAACCGTTTTTCGACTGTACATCGCGATATCGATAAAAAAGGTTGGTAACTACAGATAATATGGAACCAGATAATAATCAAGAATTGCCGGTAATAATTCTCGATCTTGACAACGATAACCGAGAGTAATTCGATCATGGCAACCGTCTTGACCTAATTGTCACATCTTCCTCTGCGCATGATTCCCGATCGTCCTTGACTCGATTAAGCCCGACTCGATCGCGAGGAGTCGCTTTCGGCTTCATTGTCATCCGGTTTCCGATCACCTTCGACGAGCTCCGTGTATGGCAAAGGAAGCTTCTTGCCTGTCAGAGTCGGTATCCTTGATTTTTGGCTCGAACAATGGGCATCCTTCGCGAGTCGTGACAGGTGGCGCGTTGTCGCGAGCGAATCACCTTAAATTTGAATCGCGATCACCTTGCCGGAGGAGGACGCAGCGGGTTGTTCGAATAAGGAAGAGAAGCGAACAGCCGATCGCGATTGGCTAGGAACAAGCTCCCGTAAAAGGGCTTGTCTGCTGTCCCACTTTTCAGCCGCGCGTGCACGCGCTCTTACCCTTCATATGCATACAAGCTGTTTCATAACACGGCCTAGGGCTCCGGGGCCATACTTGGCCATCATCCGAGGACTCTCGGATCGGAGGAGATGTCCCAAGGAAAGAAAAAGATTACAGGGTGGACCACTCGTCGTGACAAATTCATTGTTTTGACTCTCAACCTCTTCAGGGACGAATTTTCTTTTTAGGTTAACGTTACAACCATTTTGAAGCAGCGATTATTATTGTTGAGGGATTTCGTGGTGATTGATTCTTAATTTTTAAAAATCTGAATGTACACGTGTTGAAAGGTATACAGAGTGGACCACTCGTCGCGACACCTTCACTGTTTTAGCTCTCGACTTCTTCAGGGACGAATTTTCTTTTTAGGTTAAGGTTAAGGTTACAATGATTTTGAAGCAGCGATTATTATCGTTGAGGGATTCCATAGGGAATAATTCTAAATTTTTAAATTATAATTTAAGAGATCTGAACGTTCACGTGTACAAAGGTATACAGGGTGGACCACTCGTCGTGAACCTCCACCGAATTGGCTTTCAACCTCTTCAGAGACGAAGTTTCTTTTAGGTTAAGGTTACAGCGATTTCAAAGCAGAGATTACTATTGTTGAGGAATTCCATGGTGAATAGTTCCTAATTTTTAAAAAGCTGAACGTACACGTGTGTGCCGGTAGCCCTGAAGAGGTTAACGCTATGTCTACTACGGTCAAATGACCGGTGATTGAAAAGCAATTAGAATCTTGGGAAAATAGAATAACGGGAGATATGGAAAGATCGATTACGCGAATATTGGATGAAAAATCGCGAAGACCAGTGACTAAGTTTATTTACCGCGAATACGTTCATTTTTCTTGTCTTTAGTAACGTGATTAACTTTAGTTACGAAAATCGGGTGTCGTTATCTACGTGTCTAGGTTAGATTCCTCCACGGCCTACCATTTGCGACAAGATAATTTTTTATCGTTCCTCCAATCGTTGAATAATTGAAGATAATCGACGTGGTCGCGTTACAGGGTCCACTTTATATATAGTGTGAGACGAAAAATGATAGCGCACTATGATTTTCAGTGTTTCAGAAGATCTCCCAAGTGTTCCCAAGTTTAACCTTGTTAAAAATAAATCCTGCGATTTGTAAATCAAATTTGATTTTAAAAAGTAAGGCTAACACCAATGCTACCACTGTCAAATGATCGGTGAATGAGATTGCAGTAAAGCTTTGAAAAATGGAATAACGAGGGACATTGAAAAATTGATTAAAAAATCGCGAAGAGTGACGATAACGTTGAATGCGGAAATTTTAATGGAAGTTTTAAAAACGAATGTAGGCCATGGTAAGGTTAGTATTAATACTATGTAATCTAATCGATAAAAACATTAGCGAAATATTTTTGCGTTGGAAATATTTTTATAAATATAATCAAAAATTAATAATTCCTATTTATTCGTTTATTTCCTGAACCTAACGTATATTTAACACACGCAGGTGAAGTTTGTGGAGAAAAATGGAATCTTGGTAATCTGTACTGCAGGTAATCCTGTTTACCAATTGCACAGCTAACATTGCAGTCATTTCGTCCCAAACTTGAACGTCCGATCACCAATTATCGCTTTGGATCTCGAGAATGGATCGCGCAATTTGAAACATCCTGTACACTAATATCAGAGGAGTGTTACACGCTCGAGAAAGAGCCGGAGCATGCATGGTCACGATGACGAGAGCTGAACGTAACGCGACAGATATCGCAGCGGGAAAATCGAGAGCAGAGTGGTCGACAGAGCAAATGATTAATAATTCCAAGGCCGATTGCGCGCGAGTTGCAATCCTCTGTTCGAGATAACGAGGTATAATTACACGTACCGGTGAAAAGCAGCGAACGACGCGGAAAAATCGGCGCACTTCCGTTTCGATCTCCATCGCGACGTGAAATCGATCTTTCACAAGTTCGCTTTCAAAATTCGTAGCTAATCGAACGAAACGGCCAAATCATTGGCATGAACTGTAAGGCGTCATAACACGACGGTAATTAGAGTTCTTATCGGTGCCGGGACCACATGCAGGGAACTCGGAAAGCTGAAAAAACTGGAGAAGCTCGCGCTAATTTGCATCTTCAACCTTGTCACGTTTTGTATTCCGATCTAGTTAACTCCCCTCGAAAGTGGGGCACGATGTTCTACCGAAACTTAGAACCTAGGTAAATTAATTCGTGGGTTTTCGAACATTCACGTTCGAGTATCGCTACACGACAATGTCACGACTTTGATAATGCTCGATTTAGGTTAGGTTTGGATTATTCTTCTTTCTCCCACAAAAGAAACGCTGCCAATTCGAAAAGCGGAAATTAAATTTCGAAGTTTGAAATGTTTGAAATATCTCGCATGACAATGGACATTTTTTATCGCCAATTTCGCCGCGTTTGTGACTAGTCAGCCATTGGTAGATATGCAGGCGGTGAAAGCGGTCGCCTCGGGGCTCTTATCACAAGCCCACGATAATAATATTTATTATACAATCGGAAATTCTGCGTGTGCAATTGGAGAGAAGTTTATTTCGATATCGTGAGAAATTATATTTTAAATTCCAGTGAGAAGCATAATCCAAACGACGAGATTAAAGCTGCGAGGTTACGCGTGCCGCAGTCTAGGAGAAATGCGTTTTAATATTTCAATATGGCCGCCAAAAATGGCCGCTTCTGCTAAATGCTTCGCGGATAAATTCACCTGGATATCCGACTGGACCGAGATAAACCGTATTTTTGGAATCGAATTAATTCAGAAAAATAGACAAACGTAAATAATCAGAAACAATTTTTAAAACAGCGAATAACATCCCAACTTCCCCCATATCATATTAATATTAATATAATTTCGCGTATCATAAATCAGAATACGAAACTGGAAAATATCTCGACATTGAGAATTCTTTAAATTTGTAAAAACTTAAAGCGCAAAATCGCGTTTCATTTTTCGAAATTTCTAATGTAAATTTAAAATTTACAATCTTAAAAGCCGATAACGGGTATATGAAACGAGGAATATTGACTTAATGATAAGCATCCATAAATTAAAAGCGTAAAATTTGTCAATAGGGTTACCGCGAAATAAGTCACGATTAAAAAGAAGAAAAATTTTCAGTATAGTGCTCTTACCCGCAAGTGCATAGTTCGCAGATGCATTGCTCCTTCAGAGGGATCTTTGACAGGATATCGGGTAGCTTCGTTGGTTGGACGTCGTCCCCGTCGAGAGAATCGGGCGTCTGGTCTCCTCTCCTCGGTTTCTCTTCAGGTCTCCACGGTTTGTCCTCGGGTCTGCTCGGTTTTCCAGCGGCTGGCCTTTCATCGGGTCCCTTTGGTCTCTCGTCGGGTCGCGCCGGTTTGTCGACGCCTGGCGCCGTTTCGTCGGGACGCGGTGCCTTGCCAGGTCGCTCCTCCGGGCGACTCGGTTTCCCTGCCGCGGGTAAAGGCTTCCTTGTAGGGGAGACATAATCGCGAGGCTTGCCCGGGGACTGTGGCCTGGGGCCAGTCGATCTGGAACCGAAATTTCGAACGTTCAATCAGGTTTATTCGAACAGCGTAGACCGATAGTTTTCCTCGACTTGGCAACATCGGTAGGGATTAAAGATCGGCACTATCTCTCGTTGTAAATACAGTTTATGAATTCCTTAACGTCTTAGGCACGATGCGTCACTATAGTGGCTTTCGCGGATGTCATCTTTCTGAACAACGTGCCACTATAGTGGCTCACTTGCTCATCGTTTGAATTAAATGATCGTATTTTAAAGAGACAAATTTTATTTTTCAGGGGAAGACTAGTATTACTGAAAGCTATTGATAAGGATATTGGAATAAATCCTTGGAATATTGTCGTGAACACAGTACAGCAAAAATCGATATTTTTTATTTATTTAATTCATAAGCCATGGATGATAAGCAGTGTTTGCTGACAGATTGGGATTCAGAGCATGAACATATGTAAGATGCATTTCTGCAGCCATTTTTCAAACAAGTAAAATTTGTACAAAAGGAACGTAGACTGTGTTAATATTCCTGTGTATTAAGGACACATACGAATATATATGTAACATATGCATACAGTGTATTAGCTTCAAGAATCACTGAAAACTGCAGGCTGTGCTACTATTTTGTCGCGTACTGTAAACGGATGTGGCTTAACTATTCGGCCTCGGTTTTGAGATTAGACTGACCGACCACAGGAAGGTCCTGGAAAATCAACGAGTCTAGCCTAAGGAAAAACCCATGCAAGTGTTTTCAGATGTCCAAAACAGAGCTGTCCAAAACAGATGTCCAAAATATCGCGTCATTGATTCCAGTAAATGCGCAAAATATAATCTCAGATGAAAACTCGAGGAATCTAACGAAGGTGTCAATCGATCTTCGCTATTCTTCATTTGCTACTGGTAGAAAGACTCGTAAACGACCGTTCTACCTATGTCAAAACTGTAAAATCCTTTAGGCTAAGACGTACGTGCCACTGGCTGTGGTCTACAACGCTTGACTTCATCCTCGTCCCACGGATACTTATTCTACCCCCTCCAGCTGGAGAAGAATTCTACCTTTTACCTCGAGGAAAGAGGTATGAAATCGCGAGGTGTACACACGAGCCAGCGGTGTATAGAATGCTGGAAGCTGCTACGCGCCTCGACTTTAATTAAAATCAGTTTGAAATTTCAATATTTGCCAAGCCGACGTCGCTTTCTATGCGTATCAACATCCCGCGCGGATGGCGTCCTGGCAAAGATCTCCGGGCCAACTCGTGCATCCGTACACCCACCTTGTCGTCTCTCCGGGACTCTGTTCTCGCTGAGAAGGTCGACTCGGCTTGCCAGCCGCCGGAATCGGTTTCGGTCGATCGTCTTCCCGCAGTCCAGGTATTCCTCGCGGATACCCGGGTCGCTCCGGCGAGTCTTTCGGAGACGCGAGAGTGGGGCCGAAGTACCTGTCGAACCTGGTGTCATCAACGACATCCCGCGCTACCATGCTAGTCACCTGCTCTCTGTCGATGAATTCGCTCGTCGACTCGGTGACATCCCTCTGCAAGCAGACGGAAATAGATTACTTGGCGAGGAGGCCCCGTACGGGAGGAAAGGCGGTTAGAAGCGGCGGTTCCTCGGGTGTCTTCGCGGTTCGTTGAGGAGGAAGGTCGATGAAGTTAGAAACGTTATTAGCGGCAGTCGAATTCGATTAATTCGAGTGGCTGTGTGCAGTTAATATAACCATAGACGACTCCTCTGCGAGGAGATTACACGGGGGAGTTGCCTATTCTCCGGCGTGAAATTAGCGCGTATCGTAAGCTTATTAGGCCGAGAGTCGTTGCGTCTAATGGCTGGTCCATTTCAAAACGGAGCACGCGGGCTCTCGTTAAATCGCCTTGAATTACGTTGGATTGCCTAACGATTTTTTAAACGTCCCCGGAAATTTCTACATCTCGGCTGCGTCTCGCCCCCCGAGGATCGAGCTGGCGGTTAAATAAATTTTCCCGAGCAATTCCGTCGCGCTTTGTCGAGGATCTCGGCCCTCCGTCACGCGCCTTCCACGCTGCGGGACAATTACGCTGGATTCCGCTAATCAAAACTGTTATCACCTTACTAATTACCAACACTTTCGCGTACATCCACGAGCAACGTCCGCTCAAAGCAGCGCGCTGCTCGCGTAATGGATCGCAAAGCTGGCTGTCCTCTCTCGCATGAATAATTATAAACTCCCTCGCGACACTCGTTTACCGTCACGTTACGTCATGCGAAAATTCGCGTTCACGCGGCAGGAGGAGCACGAATCACGATGGAACGATCGGATTCGCGAATCACTGAAAAATATCTGGATCGCGGTCGAAGAAGCACCTTGCTCGTCGGATAGCAACGACTCGGCGCGGTCGGAACGTAGGACAGGCTGGTATTCGCTGAAACGTAACCTTTTTGTTTGACTTCCGCCTCGCACCGATGATTTCCGATTAAATCAGCGGGTCTAGACCGACGTTGCAACGGAATTCCGCTGACGGTGTTCCATGAATTTCTGCGCGCTTAACGAGACGACGGTTCGTCGATAAGGAGATAAGGGGCGAGAAAGAAAGAAGGGGGACGGTCTATGAAGCTATTTAGCGGACATGACGGAGGAAAATCGAGAAGAGGACTCGTCTCCGTGTTCGTTAATTATCCACGCGAAACGCATAACGAATACCATTGCCAGATTGAAAACAACCACGGTGCTTGGCTGCACGGAATGCGGGTAACGCGAGATTGGCGCAGATGGCGTTTATGCACACGCCTGCATCGTATCGCATAACCCGAGCTACTTTTGCACCCTGCACCTACTCCTCCGTGGATTCGGTTTCCACGTTCAGAGCCGTCGAACGTGTCCTTATGACAGCTCAACACAGCCACGCACGCGTGGAATGCTCCTGACAGATTTACGTGCCCAGCGTTTCCACGTTGGAATTTCGCTTTTCGCGTAAACGACTATCCTCGCGAGTCGAGCTTCGTCGCATTTCTCCGTGCGATGTTCGACGATCGTCTCGGGTCTTTGTTCGAGAACTCTGTTCCATTAACGAATTTGCAGCTGAGTGTGCTTACTTTTGAATCGAAAACGCAGAGGGACCTGACGATTGAAAATTCTTCTCGTCCCCTTATCCGAAAGAATATCGTGAAATTCTACTCCCACGGCACGGAGCTCCCGTATGTACGTAATTAATTTCGCGAATCCTAAAGTAACTGGATTCTGTCGGAAATACGCGATAAACGAATATAATTAGATCCCCGGGACGAATGAGCGTGGATTGTACGGTTTCGCAGGTACTCGGACATTATTCGGTGGTACAGAGGTCACACGCGTATCCCGGAGGCTCGCCCATCGACCTCCGCGTGCACGAAACGCCGGGGAAAATTGCTCGTTGAATTATTTAATTCCACGCATCGGGCAGTCGCGTGTTGGGGAAAATTTACTGGGAATGTCCGCCGCTTTTCGCCATGCGTGAAAAACAAAACAATTCGATCGGGCCGCTCCGCGCCAGGGAAAATCCTGCGCTTTGGGAAAAATAAAAAATCTCGGTCGATCGATGGAACGACACGCGTCACGTCGCTCGTGCGCACGACCAAATTCTCTCGGAATATCTAAAACAAATTTCCGGAATCAAGTACACCCTTTTTTAATCGCGCCGCTCGCGCATACGCCCGGCCAGCCTGCGACGCTTTGAAACAGCTACGCGTATACCTCTCCTCGGTTCGTTAGCGTTCATCATTATACTTCGCAGGCACGTTCGTTCCCCGGCTTAACGCGGTAATTCGATAACAAGGCAAGCAACGTTTGCTAATAACGTTAAAACGGACCTTTGTGCCGCCTTTCAGTGGGCCTGAGCCAATGCAAAGCCAGCAAAGGAGCGTTTGTCGCTGGCGAGGGTCAAGAATGGATACCTGATGTCTATCGGGGTCCGAAGAATTGTTTCAAAAATCGGTATGCCGCCTAAACTAACTCGTCCACACTTGGATGACAACTGGTCCTCGAGCGTGTACCAACTGGATCCTAAATAAGCCGGTCATCGACACCCGGGCCAACGGCGAGGACGCTTCTCTGCTCGTGTCAGTGACCCCTACGATCGTACATTCCTCGCGCCTTTATTTATGGGACCAATTTCTCAACGGTTTCTCAAAAACAGTCGCCGTGCCAGCGGCCAAAGTCACCGCGGCAATTAATTAATTAGGCTACGCATAGTCCACGATAAATTGTCGGGTCAAGCCTCTGCAAGTTTCCGCGCGATAACGCGGTATACGTCTGAGCACAGGTCGAGGCGAACTCGCGGCAACGCGATTACGCGAGTTTGCGTACGCGACGACTAAGCCTTACCTCGACACTGGCACGATACGCCACACCGTCAACCACCGTTTGCATGTGGAACAATCGAAAACAGGTCTCCTCGCGGCTACTTTACTTTCGACAAGGACGCTGAGTCGTCACGCGATGAGACGCCTGGCGTATACGCTGCGAGCGCCTCAAGTCACTTTTATACGCGTTCTCGGGTAGTGGAAGAAGGGAACGATCGTCGGGTATCGGTGACCGTGTCAAATACGCTCGAAACTCGTCTCGAAACTACCGTTTACGGTAGCCCCGAGGCTATCGTGCGTGCCAAAAGACAATCGCCACGACCCAGAGAGAGAAACCAATCCTCTGAAGAATTATTAATACCTAGACATGCGGTCGCGTGAATTTCCCGGCAGATCGAATGAACACCGTCTAAGGAGAATACCATGGTGACCGTGCACTTTCTTAGACGCACTCGCAGAGCCCGTTTATAGCGACGCGAATCGGTCCGCGGTGGGAAAGAAAGCGGGCTCGAAATTGGCGACCATTAAGCCCGGCCAGAACGGAGCGTGCATGCAATTAACTCGAGTGTTCTCGTTAAAGACGCTGTAAGAGTCCGGTTTCGATTGTTACGTTAATTGGATCGAAGAGAAAATAAAAGACCGAGCGCCGGTTGAGTTTCGCTGCGCGTACCTGTTGAATTTACCCTGCTCGCCACCGCCGAGGAGGAAATTGATATTCATACGGGGGTTCTGCGTGTGTCCGAGGTAGTCGGCTGCCAAGTATATATTTCATCGACCAACCAGAGACCTCGAGACCGATGTCACGGTTACGGAATCAACGCCATCGATGGAGTAGCTCTACTCGCCGTATCGATCTCGCCTCCGCCCGAAAATATAATTTGGCTCCGCGAAACGACCACGTTCGTCGTTCCAGCGGAGAAGTTGCAAAGTGTCAGGGATCGAAGGAAGACCCGAAGTTTGCCCGCGATGCTGCGCCAGCGGGGAGAAAAGGGACGGCCCCGGACGAAACTGATCTCGGCAAAGTGGATTGAAACTTCGTGAAAGCGTAATCTCGACTGTTCGGCTAGACGATCAACGGGATCTCGTTTCGAATCGTCCCATCGACCCGATTTTCCGCGAAACGCCGCAACTTTCGATCAAACCGTGCACACACACACGCCTGCCATGGACGTTGCGAGTGATTCGCAGACGAGTTCCATGGAGAAACACGCGTTCCAAGCAACCGCTTTCGCGCGAGGGAATACCGATGACGTTATCTGCACGCGCGGATCGCGAGATCGAGGCACTGAAACTGTGGAAAAAATTTTAATCGATCGACCAAACGACATCTTCGCGTGTGGCAGGACAGGTGGTATCGCGCGAATCGCGCGAGCATCGCGTATGGCGATGTTTACGAGCCGTAACGCGAACGCTCGTAAATTCCATAGCTGGATTCGTCGTTTGGTGACTAGTTACCATACATTATCAAGCCGAGCAAGGTTACGCGGCAGGTATCGCGAGGTGTTCTCGGAATTCCATTGGTCGGTGCGCGCTAGCTAGAGAGCCTCGTAAACGGTGACATCATTCACGAGTTTGGGCATTAATAATCCACACTGGCTGGAGTAAACGTATCGCTATGACCATGTACGAGCATTGTTTTCGATGAATATATCCAGCGATTCGTAAGACATCGAACGGGCGACCGCGTCGATCCGATATAGAGGTCAAGTAAGAGGAACAGGGGAAATCGCGATATGAAATTCAATTGGTTCCGCGTTTGAACGGCTTACCAGCGGCCGATGACATCACTTCCAAACTTGGTCACCGGGTTCTACGACGATACTCGAGTACGAGTCGCGTGCACGCGGCCTAAGGAAGCAACCACAGCTGCCAATCGGCAACGGAGTCGAGCCTGTTGGCGAACCGAGCGCGATCTTGCTCCGCTTTTAGCCCGTGCGAGCGTTTCCACAAAAGGTAGAACTTGCCAAGCTTCGTTCGTGACGCTGGATGTAAGGATCGCGACGCGAAGTGGAGGAACCGGGTCAAAGGTTGGCAAACTAGCCGAACGACGAGCGTGACGGATTGACGGACAGATAGAAGCTCGCTCACGCGAGAACACGACCAGATCGATCGGTGTTTGAAAGCAGATGCAAAAATCGGGTCGAGATCGCTTTCCAGCTCGGGCAGGTCGGATATCGTCGCGTCGCGTAAACGCCCGATCGAGATAGATCGCGATCGCGATCGCGTGCACGCGACACGCGCCGCTGGCCGTCCGCTCGCCTCTCGGCGACCTGACTCGCCAACTCGTGGCCATTTTATCGCGCCGTTTACCCGCTCGAGTTAATAACTGTTTGCTTCCATGCAGCTCGAAATCGTCGTGCTGTGAACGTAACTCGCCCGAGGGATTGCGGCGCTGGAAAGCGCCAAGAGCGAGAAAATCATTAGACGGCTTCTGCGTCGAGTTTGTCGTCCGTGGACCCGCGGGAAAATGCTTGCAGACGTCGCGACGAGATCTCGGTGTTCCGATCAGGCACGCGAGAATGCGCTCGTCGATCGAGAAACGGACGATGGAGAAACGAATCCCCGGGGCGAAATGCCGGGTGAATTATGCATTTGCGCGGGAAGAAGGTCGTCAGGGGCGAGTGACGGTGCGAATCGCGCGTGGCGCTCGTTCGAACCCGTCACTCGCGATAATTGGAACGCAAACAGGATTTATCGACGAAGACGTAAACGTATTCGACGCGTTTCGCGATTGCAAAGGACGCTGCGTGACGCGATGCTATAATTAGTCACGAGAGACATCGAAACGTCGATCGGCCGCTTCTTTTTCGCGTTTTGCAACGGTTTCGAAACTCTCGTCTCGCTGACGAGAGTCCGGGCATCGCGACGTGTCATCGACAAGGCAGAGTACGAAGCCGCGAGTTTTATCGTCATTTCGCAACGATGCATCTGCCAATTGGACTCGTCGCCGTGCTCGTGGTCGCGCTGGAAAAGCTGCAGCGATTTTCGCATTGCAGGTTGACCCTGCTCCGACGATTCTCCTCCGCGTTCTCCATACTTCTCTCCGTCCCGTTCCGCTGGATCGCTGGGTTACGTCAGCGTTATTTTTAACCGAATAACACTCGGGAACCTACGACCTTCGCCTGGTTTGGGAGTGAAAGTACCCAGAGAACCTCTTCCGCGAGGTGTGCAGCCTGTCTTCGTATTTACCTTCATCTCCTACGAAACCGGCGCCGTGGTAACGCGATTATGCCACTCGCTACAGCGCGCCGGCATTCGTTCGCCAGGAAATCTCTCGGTCAATAAGATTATTTCCCTCCTCTCGAATTTATGCATCTCGGAAAGTTCAAAGACCCCTCTTCTCCGGCGAAAAGTTTACTGCTATCCCTGCCGCCTCGATTCCACGCGCGCCTACGTCGCCATTATTCCATCCTCGCGGACGCCGGTTAAACGCGAATTTTACGCAAGAGGTCGACTTAATAGAGCCGCAGGGGGGTATCGCCGGACCAACGACGCGATAATCTCCCGAGGAACAAGGTTCGCCATTGTGCTTCCTCCCCTACCATCGCCGGCGAAAAGATTGACTAATAGCTTGTCGTTACTCACCACGTCTTTACGCGTATCCGTCGTGAATTCGCTGATGACACGCTCCTCCACCACGTCGCGAACGTCCTGCACCGAGGTGAATCTGGACGACTGATCGATCACGTAAGACGACCGCTGGACCACGTCCACGTCCGTGGTGTCCTTCCGGTCCCGCACGTCCGACACGTCCAGGGTCACCACGGAGACTTTCGTGGTGTCGTCTCTTGGCACCACGGCACCCGGTTTCTCTACCTTAGCTTCGTCTCCAGTCGGAGACCTCGATCCTCTCCTTCCCTGATCCGTCGGTCTCTTCTCTCGATCAGCCGGCTGCTTCTTCTGATCTTGCGGTTTCTCGTACACGAACGAACCATCCCAAGTGGACGCACCTGGTTTGCTCGGTCTCGCAGACCTGTCTAGGGGACTTTTTTCCGGGGATCTTCTGTCGTCCACGGGTTCTTTCCTAGTGGCTGACTTGGGGGACTCTGGGGGAAATTGTCCTTTTTCGGTGAGACGCTTCTTGTCGTCGATGTCGCGAACCAGAGTCGTGGAGACCTTGGTCGAGTCGAAGACCTCGGAGTCCGAGACTAGGGTTCGCTCGAGCGTGGTCGAACTGACGAATTCGGAACTCTCCCTCGAGGTGTCCGACAGGGTGATCGATTTTTCCGTTATGTAAGTCGGTTGTTTGTCCTCTGGTAACATTCCAGCATCTGTCGGCGACGTCTGAGTCGGAGCTCGCTTATCCGGATGACGCGCTACGTCTGCCGGCTTTTCGACGGGTTTTTCGTACACGAACGAACCGTCCCAGGTCGAAGCACCGGGTTTCGTGGGTCGAACAGAGCTGTCGATCTTGCCGGGACTCTTGGCACGTTTCTCGGGTGACTCGGAGTCTTCCGCTTGCGGCTGATACCCTTTGCGGTCCAGTGGCTTCTTCTCGGGAGTCTTGGGCGGCTCCTCGATCCTCACGGACTTTTGCACGGTCGTCGGGACGCCGTCGCGGACGATCACCGTTTCCACGGAGCTCGTGGAGTAGTCCACGTTCGACGAGTCCGAGTAACTCTCGTGCGAAGTGGATTGCTCCATTACGAAGGAATTGCTGAACACTTCCGAGCTGCTGGATACTCGCTGAGCCGTGTCACGGATATCCAGGGTGGTATCGCTGACGTGCTTCCTCGATCTCGGCACGGGACTCTCTCTGGGCTCGGGTCGGATCTTATCGATCGATCTATCGCCGACGGACTCTCTGCTGGGCGGTCTCCTCGCCTCTGGCGATCTCTCCATGACGAACGTCCCGTCCCAGGTCGACGAACCGGGTTTGGTAACCCTGGCGTCTCTATCTTTCGGTGTCTTCTCGGGAGTCCCCGATCTGCTCGATGGACCATCCTGCCTTACCGGTTGCACGTCGTATACGATCGTCTCGTGCACGGAGGATAGGCTAGAGTCCCTGATATCCGTGAAACTCTGCTGACTGGACGAGTGCTCGACCACGTAGGACGCTGTCGAGATTTCCGCCTCGTTTATCGAATTGTCATCCGTGACGTCGCGGATGGCAATAGTGTCGGTCGTCCTTCGAGCGTCCGGTTTCCGCTGAGCATCAGGCGTTTGCGGTTTTTCATAGACGAAGCTGCCGTCCCACGTAGACTGACCAGGCTTGTAATTCTGCGTCGTCGTGTCTCGCCTTGCCGATTTCTCCGGACTCGTAGGTCGACGCGGGGACGCGCCATCTGCCAAGTCTTCTTCGTGTATGATTTCAGAGACCGAGGTCACCTTCTCGCTGGTCTTTCTCCTCTCGTCGCTGGAGCTCGCGTATTCCACGACGTAGGACGAGGAAACGGACTCCATGTTGGAGACGTTCTGCTCCTCCGTCACGTCTTGCACGTCCACGGAACCGTGTCTTCCGTCGCTGGTTCTCACTACCGTTTTCTCCACCGACGATCTCTTGCTGCCATCCTGCGGCTTCTCGTAAACGAACTGTCCGTTCCACGCGGATTCTCCTGGTCTCGCGACTCTCCGTGCCGGAGGAAATTTGTCGCCCGCGGTGTCCGTTTTGCCAACAGGTGTTCCATCCACGTAGTACTCCTCCCAGGCGTTTCTACGTTCCTCGGACACGAACCGCGAAGAATCCGTGCCACCCTGCATCACGTGGACCACGTTCGAGGATTTCTTCTCGTAGCTCCCATCCAAACTCTTTTCCTGGAAATCCGTCCTCTGCGTCGATTCCATCACGTTGTCTCCGCCAGGATGATAAAACACGGAGGCATCGGAAACGTTCCTCTTCCGTGGCTCTCGTGCCTTCTCGGTCACAAAGGTGCCGTCCCACGTGGACTCCCCGGGTTTCGTGTACCGGGTCGTTCCCTTCGGCTGCACTTCCGTCGTAACCTGCTTCTGTCCTCCGGCGAAATCGATCGCGTCCGTGGAAACGTGTTCGCGAGCGATCGAGGAGACGTTCCGATCGAAGCTCTCCAGGTTGCTCGAGGTACTTCGACCCTGGTCGATGACGATTTTCGACGTGGTCGAGGTGGACGACGAGCGCTGATCGATAACCGAACTCTGAAACTCAGAGACTTCAACGCTCGACGTGCTCTCCTGCATATTATCGGCGTTGATTTTTGAAACCAACCGATCCACTCTTGCCCTGTCAGGGCTGTCTCGGTCTGTTCGAGACGTCTCGACGTTCCTCGAGATATTCTTGTCTTTAGCCGATGGCGGACTTTCGCTAATAAACGTGCCATCCCACGTAGACTGTCCGGGCTTGTTGCACCGCGTGACAACTTCGCTAATTTTGTCCGCTTTTACGCTGCTCTTCGCGGTGCTTTCACTCACGGCGGTGCTAGAGGAAGAATCGAGGATGACCTTGTTAGTCGCGGTCTTGACGTCATCCGTATGTTTAACCCGACCTACGTCCGAGGGCACGACCGTGGTCTCGTTGTCGACGCTGCGACTCTGAGAGGCGGTCACTCTCCCATTGTCGTCTAGCTTCTCACCGGATTCGCGAATCTTCGTGCTATTCGCGATCGTTTGTCCGTCCTTGGTCTTCGCCTCGTACGTCTCCTTGCTGGCCTGTCTGCTCTCGTACGATTTCGACGAGGACTGCACTTTCGGAGTATGCTCCCCGTTCATGGTCCCGTTGGAGATCATGGTCTTGGACAGATGATCGTAGTGATCCTCCATCGACGACGACGTCTCCACTACCGTGGTAGACGACATGGATTTTTCAACAGTCTCCGCTCGCGACTCGCTGCGACTCTGCGTTTCGGATAACCTACTGACTCGTCCCAACGTCTCTCCACGCTGGTCATCCGTATATACCTCGACGTCCTTGATGTTCCGTGGACTGTCGCGCACGATTTTACCCTGTTTCACCGACTGCGTCTGTTCCTGCGCTATCAAGTCCTGAGAAGTTTTGCCCGTTCTGTACGTAGACGAGGTTTGACCCACGGTCTGCGGTGCAGACTCGATGACCTTGATCACGTTACCCTTCGAATCCATGATGACCTCGCGACTAGCGCTGGTCATCTCCATCACGCTGCTCCTAGACTCGCTCTCCATGGTCTGTCTCGCTTCCTCGACCACGCTCGTCGACGACACGACCTCGACCGTCTCGACGGTCGTCTTATCGGAGGAACTGGAGGAAGTCGTGGCGACTTCCTTCGCCGTCCCCTTGCTCTTTCCACTCGTCTTCTCGTGTACAGTCATTCCGACTCACTTTTGCGCTCGAGATCACGACCTCGTGCCGATCTCTCATGCGAATGCAACGCGCGAGGCTGCCCTCGGGATCCAAACTCGCGATTGTCGTCGCGCACTGAAACCGGCGAGATGGCAGCGAAACCGAAAACTACCGTAACGTTTACGGTGGGAAACACGCGACTCGTTAACCGGCGATCTCTCGAGCCGGACTGAAGCTTCACCACGACCTGCCCCGTTCGCAAACTCGTTCCTCTTCGTCCCTGAAGGCTCCTGTATATATACGTATATACCTGTATTCCGACGATTATACACACTCTTCGGCTTTCTCACTCTATCCCCGTTGCTCCGTTTCTCTCGATCTCTCTCGTGCGCGTGCTTGTACGCGTGCTCGTACGCGCGTGTAGTCTGTAACTCTCGGTGCAGAACGTTTCGAAGTGGTAAAACGCGGGAGAAAAGGTTCGTTTCGATGTTCTCGGTCCGGTACCGCGAGTCGATGTGGCATCGACGATGGCTCGCTGGGCCTAGTGACCACACGGTGCACCGTTGCTCTCCGTCGCTACCATTGCCTGGAGAACTGCCGATCCGGTCTCCCTACTTTTCTCTCGCGTGTCCCCCGGCGTGGGATGTTACCGCGTACTCGCTCGCTGGTGTGCGTGTACACGATCCTTCTACCCGATTCTTATTGTGCACCGTGCTCGTGTGGGTAGCCGAGATACTCTCTTCCTCTCTTCTTCTCCTCTTCTTCTTCTTCCCAAACCGGGTCGGCCGCGTCGTCCTCGTCCCTCTTTGCCCGCATCGTGTCTCCGTCTTGCCGATCCTCTTTAAGGACAATTCACCTCGAATCGCCTGTTTACCCTTTTTCTTCCGTTTCGCGTTTACCTCTTCGCTCTCCTCGCCCATTTTTTCCCTCTCTTTTTTCCTCGTACCGAGAAACGCCGAGCATACTCGCGCACACGTACGCTGGTCGACAGAGCACGCGCAAACACCGGTATCAGCGATATTGTATAACCATCTAGAACTACAGCGCGTGTTTGTCTGCGTTTCGCTCTGCTCAGGGCCGTTTATCCGTTGCGAATCGTCGGTTCCAGCTCTGGCTGATCGCGACGTTGCTTCTCGCCGCCGCCCATCGCAAGTTCACGATTATTATTACCACTCGATGCCGTAATATTCGCATCCCGACGAGAATAGAGGTTTCCCGCACTCGCATCATTCGCTGTACACCTGGCGCCACGAATGCGCTCGCTTAATCGCCGATTCATTCGCGCTACAAGTTCATCGCGGTTGCGTAACCACGTGACGGAATTTTCTGCGTTCAGTTTTGCACGGTAAACACGGCGAATACGGAAGCTTCTCTCGATTCCGAGTTCCATCGCTCGCTCGATCCTCGCGCGATCTTAGCAACGCGCGGGTCCCCGAAATTCGGCGTACAGGCGTGGAAACGCAAAGCCGGTAAACGCGCGCCTCTATTTTCACGCGCCGCGTTCCGCGCGTAAAAGCACGCACGGTTTTCTCTTTCACCCGCTCGCTGACGCGCGCATTACGCGAAACACGTACGGGAACGAACTCTCTTCGGACTTTACCGCGCTCGCGCGTACGTCCGCAGCTTCCTTCGCAGGGAAGAGTATCGCAGCCGATAGCACGCTCGCGTTTGCTCTGTCCGCTTTCCATCGTGGCAGATTACGTCGACGTACGCGCCACGCAGTACAGGTACAAATGCAATTTTCGCCGACACGCTCGCCTCTTTTCCACCATCGTTCATTCCACGCCCGAGTCTCTCTTTCTTTCTCTCTGGGTTCCCCTCGACGTTCGGAAAGAGTAGACGTCGTTTGCTCGTACGCTACCGATCGAACTTTCGATAAGTTGGAGAATAGAGTTCCGCACGGGAAGATTACCGCGGAAAGATTATAGTGGAAACTATAAGTATACGGTCCCTAAAACGCTCTAGCCCCGTTCCGAGGCGATCGTTTCGCGACAACGACCGGCTTTCCCTTCGAGTGAAATTTAATTACAGTTTCGGGGAGTCGTCGCTGATACACGGACAAATATTTCAACTTTCGATCTCGATGCTCCAGTTCCTCCGGCGCGAGGCTTTCGATTTTTCGAAATCGCGCGCCGAAACGGAGCCGGGGAGGCAGGGATCGCGGGTGGATTATCGGGGCGCGCGATGTTTTCGTGGCGAGCAGAAATAAGATCGGTGGCGAATACGAAATGAAGGCGTCTAGAGGAGAGAAGACGGGAGAAGGGGCACCGGCAAGGAACCGGTCCCTCGTGATGTCTCGATGTAAACCGGGCGATGACGTAGACCGCAGAGAACCGCGTCGAGCGGCGTCGAGCCGCGTCGTTCCCCTCGAGGTGTCGGACTGGCTCACCGATGGCCATTATTTTCGCGTGCGCTATCGCAGATATAGTGGCTGATTGCGCCGCCGCCGGTGTCGTTAACGAGCTGACAGAGCTGAAGGAATTATCGTTAGATCGTCCCCCTAGCGCTGAAATTTATCGCGCGGAATTGGCCTGCCCGCGGAGACTTATCGCCAGTGTCAATGCCACGTTTCCGGCAGCCCCGAAATTCTCCCGAGCATCCTTTCCCGACGTCCGCCACTGCTTCGCTCCCTATAATTTCCATCTCGACGTGTTCCAGCAGCACTCGTCGTTGCGCAACACCGTCATTTCCGCGTGCCTCGAGGCGACGTTGTAATATCGTCGATGAGCTTTCCTTTTCCATCATTCACCGATGCGTCGACGAAATGTCGCGCGAATCGCGGAACAATCTGCGCGACCTTGGCGCGGAAAAAATGCCGATGCTGACGATGACGATGATGCAAGAGGAAATGCGACGTTGAGCAGGAAGGATCAGGACTGGCGTAACTTCGCTTGCGCGCCGGTCGTGATCTAACTCCGCGATCTAGGCTGTCTCCGCCGCGCGCGATATATCGGCTCGGCGAGATCGGTAAGTTATCGATACTGGAATCGTAGGTAGCAGCGGTTACGATACGGAGGAAACGCGTTCGCGGACTTTTCCTTTCCACTCCGCGAAGCGTAAGTTACACGCGTCCGAACGCGAAAAGTTCGGAAAAGGCTATTTTTACGCGCTGTTCGAACGATCGGATGACTTGCCGCGAATGACGTTCGGAGAAAAGCCGCGAGCTCCTAATAAGGAAATATCGCGTGGTCGTTCCGCGAATCCATCATCGTCCGCGGCTGACCGGTGCACGCGGGGCTAGCCGAAAAATCGGGGACGCATACGATTGATCTCGATCTCCCGGCGATCGATTTCGGTTAAGGAGCGAAAGTACCACGCCCGTGCCGACGCGTTTCCCGTAAAAAGTGTGCTCGGGTCACGGCGTGGGCAGGAACCGTGCAAGCGCTGCTTGCGAGACCAACTTCGGTGCTCCGTATTTGGCGAATGCGTCGAAGTCCGTAGGCGAACCAGTAACCGGTCGACCGCGTCATCCGGGGACCAACGAGCGTACACATGCGATCCACCTCGTTCGGCATAGAAACGCCATTGAACGAACGTTTACGTGCTCCGATCCGTGCTTCGTCTTCGTCTTGGCGCAAGGTAAACGTTCCTGGAACTTCCGTCGAACCGTGACTCACTCGTCTCGAAACGTTGCTCATTCACACGCGATAATTGCCAGTTTTCTCTCTATTTTAATATCGCTGGGAACGGACAATCGCGATGACGCTAATTAAACCGGCTCGTTACGGACCCGCCACCGGATATCTACCCCGGGGACAGCGCGAAAATCCGGCTAAAGGGTAGAGTCGGGGAGCTCCGAGGTGGTCGCGAATTCTCGGCGAATTCGCACGATGCGTTCGCATCTGCTTTGGACGAAGGACACGATCGAATTCCGAGGCGCAGTTAAGCGGCCTTACGCGTGCATCACGGAGGATGTTACGAGGCGACGACGGATCGAGATCGATCGTTTCTCACGGGTGTCCGTCGATCTTTATGGTTAACAGGGTTAAGTATATATGAAGAAAAAGTCAGTCGCCTTGCGTAAATCAGGCTATCCTTTTCCACGTCCCTCTCGGGGGAATCGAAAGCTTGGCCAACATGAAAGACAGCCCTGGCTGGCTCCTTTTATAATGGATCATGCTATAATGAAGCACGGTACGGCGCCTTCTCTTATTAATTAACGTTAAAAGGGAAACTTTTGTAATTCCGCTTCTAAGACGAAGCGATGTAGCCTGACCTCTGCACAGACCCCTCTATCGTCCTCGAGATCTCGCGTATCGGCCCACACAAAATAACGCACTCGCGGATAATTAAAATACGCCCCCTGCAGTTCTTCCCGGAGAAAGAATTCAATTGCCTCCGCTCTCCGAATCTAATCTCGACTATCCCCCGCGCCCAACTGTCTGCCGCCTCTCCCGAGAGATGAATTTTCCTTCCCCGACAACGCACGCGTTCCGCAGCTTTCGTTATTCCTGCGACACGCTTCGAGCCTCTGCTCTCGTCAGCGTGGCGCAAAGCGAGACGAACGCACGGCCACGCGTGGTTTCCATCGGACGCGTTTCACGCGTGACATTGGCGCAAAGTCATCGAAGCTCGCGCAGCCCCGCGTCGTCGCGCGTAAATTCCGCGAGCACGGGGTGCTTCCCGGTACTCGATTATCGACCACTTGGTCCCGGGGAAATTATCGGTGGAACAGAGCGACCAGGTTCGATCGAAAGGAACCGGCGGAGAGCCGGAAAAGCCGAATTTTATCGACGAGACAAGCGAACAATGGAGCCCGGTATCGATGCGGCGAACAGTGGCGTGGAAAACGTGCAATAACGCGATCAACGAAGCCAAACGAAATTACGTTAAACCGAATGAAAAGACCGTTAAGCGGTTTAACCAGCGGCTTCGAGCGTGTAATGAAAAGTTGGACGGTAATTTCAACGACGAGCCGGGCATAAAAATCGCTCCGATCCCTGCGATTACGAATAAGGATCCCCGGAACGGGAACGCATCCGTGTATCTCGCTGATTTACGTTTAAAGGAAGCTTATAGTACGTCGAGGCAACGGGAGACGAAGAAAAGGAAAAGAAGAGGCGTCGTCTCTCGTTGCATCCGAGGCAAACGGTCCATAATCGGGCATACGAATTTCGCATCTCGAACCGGGCTGGTAGGGGGATGATACGAATGCATTTGCAGGCTGTGATGTCATGGCCTGTTTCGTTCGGCTTGCTCACGGGGTAGAGTCTCCGGGAACAATTCTTAATACAGCGATAAATATTCCAGAGTGTTCGTAAAACCCATCGAGATGTGTACGTACGTACGATGCTGGGCGTACGCGGGTAGACGAGAGATCGCGTTTCTCCGTATACGACCATGACACTAAATTACCGACTTATACAGTGGTTGTCAATCTGCATTTACAAGTAACATCGCTCCATATACGCGCGACGCGACGCAATTAATCATCTTTTTCGTGCGGCGCGTACTTGAGAAACTCGTCTGCCCAGACCCAATTCGAGGGCCTCGCGTGGCAAAGGGGGCCTGGAATTAGGACAGACGGCCGATGCAGGCGCGACGAAAGAAGTTAAAGAAAGAGCGAACGAATTGATCGAAAGGCGTGCATAACGCTGAATTGGCCTAACGCCTTGGCGTTATCGGGACAGCGTTGTTGGGGCAGATTTCGCTGTCATAAAGGTGACAGTCGGCTACGCTGGCACGGATATCAATGGAAATGTAATTACGTTCTTGATATTAACTCTGGCACGAATTGAATCGCGGTCGGGCTGGATGGGTGCCTGACAGCCGATACGATGCAATGCAATTTTGTCCGGTAGTAACGCGTAAGACGAGACCGCATGATACGGAAAATTGTCGGGACTATCGATGACCGCGTGCACAGCGGGCTAAAGGCCGTGCACGCACGAAACGGGGGGACGTCGGGAGCGAAAAACGAGGAGTCGATACGAGGCCCCTTTGTAATCAGCCGCGTGCCACGCACGCATCGCGGGGAATCATCGTGTTGACCGATGGATAATATTAACATTTTTCGGTAAGACGTTCGAAGACATAGCTGGCCTACATAACGCTTTGCGTGCGACCTTCTTTGCGTGGAATTTTATCGGGATCAACGGAATAACGGAGATCGGGCTTATGCAAGGATGTATCCGCGCGGCCGAATATACATGTATATCTCTCTAGCGCTGCAGATGCGGTTACCAGAGAGAGTATTGATGAAACAATAGAAGGTACATGAACGCGTACTGAAAGAACGGGCCATATCGCAATCCACATACGCCTGGAATGTAGTAAATGGTAGGAGTAAGCGCGGTGAAAATCAATCACAATTGTCGTATAAAGGTGCGCTTATAGCGGAGGTATACGAAACCGCGAATATGTAAGAAAATTGAATTACCGTTTAGAGGTTAACGCGATATTTTTCGGGCTTCTTCGCTTTCCTTCGGCGTATAATTAATTTCGTTAATCGTTATTGATCGCCGGTGCACCGAACGTTAAGGTCTTCAAAGGAATAGCGACGCTCGTGAGATAATCGGACCGTGTGCAGAGCCCCTGTAAAGCGGCAACCGTTATTACACCGCTGTCGGCGATACGCGAACCGTCGTCGTTAGGGCTACGAAAATTTTACGCATTTCCGGTGCGATATTCGAACCTTCGATGCACGAAAGTTATTTCTATTTACAGTCCAGCAAATGGCTACGCGAGGAAAACTATCTTGTAATTTGAGATTACAAATTTCGAGAAAAGGGAAGATCGTAGATATTGCGTTTTCTGGGAGACAGATCAAAGACAAGCTACGTCGGATTTTATGTACCACGTACAAAGACAGTCGTACTTTTATCGAGTCAAAGGGAGAAAAGAATTTATTCAACGTTCCTCGCTTGGAGCCCGGCCTTTTTCGTATTTCGCGTGTTTCGGATTAAGTAATTGAAAAGTTTTTAAATGAAAGGATGATCGCGAAGCTGGTATTAAATGTACGTTCAAATCTCTTATCGATATCTCTTCTTCCCTTTCGTTTCCAAATGTCAAAAATATTCTCGATAAATGTGAACAGCGAAATTTTGATTGACGTTTAAAAAATTAAACCAGCACTTACCTACGGTTATACCTTTCTAGCGGCGTTTCTACATAACGTATCGATCATTGGCTCGATGCGAGATGACAGTGGTTCCTCGATCACTGCCAAGCTGCGGTGTCGCTAATCGTTTGGAGGGATGCAATGAAACAACGCATTGTTTCCGACGAAACCGAACGAATGTTTGGCACACATTCGGTAACGGCTAGACGCCGTTGCACCGACGGCGGTTCGCACCTCACAGATACATCGCGACGTCTGACGTTCCCGCGCCCATTGGCGTCGAGGCAACGTCGTCATGACGACCGCGCATAACAACCTTTGCACACGCGCAATTCGTTTCCATTGCGTAGATTATACGCGGCAATATACGGACTACCGGAAATGATCGTTACAAAAACATTACTCACACAAACGAAGCATGGTAAGTGTATTTCGATTATTTTCACTATTTAACAACCTGCAGGGACGATATTTATAATTCGAATATAAATAACCGTTGGAGAATAACGGTTGAAATTTTGCAACTAAATTTTCCAAATAAAAACGCAGTAGATTTTGAAATCGTGATTAGACCTTATTTCGACGATAATTTGATAGACTCGTTTAACTATAATATGAAAAACAATGAAAACAATTATAAAGTAGTGCTACGTATAAAATTTTGCAATTCTTAATCAAAAAATAATTTATATTCAATTTCGGTCGTAAAGTCTTTAAAAATTAAGAACTTTAAAATTTGTATAATGTTTTGAGTTACAACATGTAACTTATACGAGGATCTGATAATTAATTCTCTTTAAACTTGTAAAACTAGAACAAGTTTACGCGAACCAAAACTTACAATGATGACAAATATATCTGTTTCTGCTAAAAAACAAATGTGTGCGTGCTCTCATTTGTTCATACGTCTAAGCAGTAGCGTAATATAACATCATTACCATTGTTTTCTTGCTCTATTTGTAAAAGCAAATCTATACAATCATACAATTATATGATGTATCGTACTGAACTAAAATTGCACTATCTGATACATTTATAAAGAAGTTACTAACACACCTGTTAACCCATTTCATGTTAGAATATAACAGAAAAGAATAGAAGTTAAAACTTTTTATAAAATCACCTAACCTGGGTTCAAAAATCATATATTTAATTTTTCTGAAGAATACGTCTTTACTCATAGAATACATGCAAATGCCAAAAGTACAAGGTCTAATAATATTGACAGTGTATTCTAAAGATAAATCTTGGCATGCAATCATATTATTTTCATTTCCTAATTTATGTTCATCTTTTCCCATTTGCTATGCACATTTCAATTTGTCACTATTAAATGTACGAATAAACTTTATTCTAAAACATTGTTACCAATTGGTAATTAAATTGAAAAAAATTTCTACAAAAATCTTGAAATTTCACTAAAATGTCTTTTATGAAATTAACAAATTGAATGAACAAAATTGATACATCGGTTCTATAAATATTGTTATATGGTAGTAAAAATCAGAGTAACATTGTCGAGTGAAACATTCGTAACAATATTAAAGAATTAAAATAATATAAGACTTGAATTGTTTTTAAAATTCCAATAGGTACAATAAAATATATGCTTTCAATTCGCTAAATTAAATGGATCTAATTAAAAAAATTTATGTATATATAATATACCTACTTATTGCAAATTTATTTTTATATATGTTTGACAATAAGATTTTTCAGTGCAGAGAAGAGTTTTTAATTTTTAAACCCCATTTTATTAATAATCATGACACTAATAAAAATTATTATATAAAATATATAACAAAAATATATTCAGTACTTCATTTTAACATTGGAATTACATGTAATGTAACAAAGTACTAATAGCTTGATACGCAGTAAGACCAAAACCAACAAAAAAGGCAATTGCTCTGTGAGGTTGCTTTGGAACAATAGCGTATACCAAAGTGTGACCAATTCTAGCAATCACGAAACTCCTGATTAAAAGTGAAGCTAACCATACAGAAGGTTCAGTAGTTAACCACAGAAATGTAACAATATACCATATAAGAATATTTTCTAAATCATTTAAATGTGCTCTACGTATGCGTTCAACGTCAGGATCATTGTAGATAACTTTTGCTCCTTTCATATGTGCGGTATCCTCATTGTTTGCAAATATCTGCAATAAAAAAAAGCATATATTTTTGTACAAGATACAGATGAAAATGTTTTTTATTGTATATTATAAAAAAAGACATACTAATTTCTTAAATCTGTAGCGTGCAGTCAATGGTGCCATAAAAACTAATTTTAAAGCAAGTACACTACCCCAAAATGCAAAAATTCTGAATAGTTCGGGGTTTAAAATAGACGCGTTTAATTTATCCATTGTGCAATTTGTAGATTGCAAACTTCTTCAGTGAAAATTAATTTGATAAACCACGTTGGTTAAACGGCACGTAGCAAATTGCGTTAAAACTTCCAACTATAAAAACTGTAATGCTGTGGTAATTCATGTATTCGTGATAAGCTGCTAAGAGCAGAGTGGGGATGAATCGAGAAAATTTAATATCATCGTGCATCGACAAGTTTCTATTTGGCTGTGTGATGCTGCTAAAAACAAGTTATGACTAAAGAATGATAAGGGTATTTTTTTGGAGTATTTTTTTATATTTGCTTTATTTTAATATTTACACCATTGTGCCTTTTTATTTTTTAATATTTATATAATACTATAATTTTTAATTAAATTCAAAAATATGATTTAACTAGATACATATTCATTAAGCATATAAGATATAATATAATGATTTCGCGTATATTTATTAATTATCAGTGCCTAGTGACTTCATGTTACTGCATTTTTGTCCAATATTATCCAATCAGAACGAGTTATACAATGCTTGCCTTTGTTTGGTCATTACTGCTAGATCTTGTACAAAAGTATCCAATCGAGATTCTCGTTTGCAATAAGAATTTTAACCAAAGGTATATACATACATATATATATATATACATATATATATATATGTCTTCTTTACGCATCACGTGATTGGGGACGTACTTTCCAATCAGGAAACAGGAAGTCTAGAAATTTATTAAATCGAATAAATTGTTTAAAATTTTTAATTGTCGATTAGAATAAGTTGAAAGAAAAGTTTTAATATGTTTGAAATGCAATCGCCGTTTTATTTTTTATTTATTTTTGTTTGAAAAGTGTCGGCAGTAGGGAAGAAAAATAGGGAATATTACAGTGCGCATGCGCGAGAAGCAACGCTGACGCAGAAGGTACGTCAGCTGTTTTGTTAGAGGTGCGTGCATCGGGAATGGTATATTGTTGATTGGAGGGGCACTTCGCAGTTTGTTGGTCTGATCATATTTCTTTGTTTATTTGGTGTGCAGAATCGTACTATCATCATAGAAAACGTCCTGCCGCGAGTGAAAGATCACGACGCGTTGAGGAAGGGCTAAAAAAATCGTAGTAAAGGCCACAAATTATCTGGAAAACCCGTTGGAAATTGATTCTTTCGAGAAGGAGCAGTGTTCGCAAAGGCGTCCGTCCGACTGTAGTGTTCTGTGCTACCACTTCAGGAGGTTTTGGACGTTCCGCTTCCTGGAACAGACTGCGACTCTACTTCCAGAAGAGAAATATGGCACAAACAACGAGTAGCGCTTTGAGGGCGCTTGCTCTTGAATATAAAGGTCTCCAAGAGGAACCCGTCGAGGGATTCCGCGTGAAACTCGTTAACGAGGACAACATGTTTGAGTGGGAAGTGGCGATCTTCGGGCCCCCGGATACGCTTTACCAAGGAGGATACTTCAAGGTAATTATCATAATCATTCTTAGCTTTTGTTCGCTTTGCAAAGTTAGCCGAGCAAAAAATTGTTTTATTTTTATCTTTGTCCCATGTAAACATTACAATAGGGTACGCTTTTCATTTTGTTGGTTATGTTTTTGCTTTCTCTTTCGATAGGTGCGAGGTTTAAGAATATTTACTTTTTCGTCCGAGGAGATGTTTTTTATTGCTCAATTGCTAAATATGGTTGTACATTTTTTTCATTTAAACATCAAACCAACAGTGCGTACTCGGTTTCGTTACAAAGTAACATCTTTTTCCGTTTTACTTTCGAACAATTTCGTACTGCTTAGAAATAGTATTTTCGCGATAACGCGTTTCCCGCTAATCTTAACAACTTATACATTTGGAAAACTTGAGCATTCATTAGCGTTTCCGCGTAAAGGTTGCCTGACGATGACACGCGAAGCATTACGATTACCTTGACCGGAAAAGTAGCAATGCGAAAAACGAGTTTTGCCGCAACCGATCGCCGATTTCCCCAATAATAGCCGTTGCTGTAGTTATTGCCGTAAATTCGCACGCCTTTCCTATTGGCGTTACGATTCGACGAATGTTTACACGTACAAGTCAACCGGCGACTTTCAAACTGCGTTGAGTAATCTCGAAAATTAAGAATTACTCAATACTGTCGGATCGATTGCGTTCCACGCTGATTTGCTTCTCAAAGCTATATTCCTATTGAATTTTTCCACGTGTATCACTCGAGGATACATCTCGAAACGGAGTGTCACCGTTGCTATTCTTATTGAACAAATGTTTCACAACTGTTTCTTTTGATACGATACGATACAATAAAATTTCAGATCGGTTGAAGAAAAATATTCCGCCATACGTGATTAAACGAATTTCGTAATTTTTCTCTTTATTTTTTTTCCCATTTCCTACCAAGGATAGTTGCGATATCATTATGCGCTTTCAATCTACTCTCCAGCTAGCAGAAAATGAATTCTGCCGTTGCCGCACAGTTATACGGTTTTTTGTACAATCCGCGTCCGCTTTCTAAACCACTCTCCGCTTCGTTATGAATTTACGAACACTTATTCACGTAACGCTCGCGTTACCTATCTTCCCACAGTGTAACTGGTCGCAACGAGTACGGGGCTGACAACAACACCGTTATTTGCGAATCATATCGTTCCGTACACGTGATCAGCATCTGCGTGGGTGTCTCTCGAATCCTGTTCCACGAGATTCTAACTCTCTTTGTAATCGTAATGCGTCTCGATCGTAAACAGTGTTGTTGCACGTTACTGTCACACGGTAACACGGTGTTCTTTGTTGCGATGGCTATTATCGCGATTACGCGATACCTCTACGTACGTATGTAAATCGGCGACGGTTTTCATCGGCTGTTACGAAAATCTTGCCGACCAGTTGACCCGAAACTTGTAATATGACTCGACATTTTCACGCGTTCGCAATTATTGACTCGATACGTTGCAGTATATTTTAAATCGGAACACATTTTTTAACCCTACTTTTTACCGGCACTCGATGCGTGCATATACATAAAAATCGTCATCGTGCAAAGTTAAATTCTAATCGCAAAAAGAATCGTACGCCGCCATTGATTATCACGGACGATTCCCTCTACCGGACGGAAATAATAACTTACGTTTATCATAAACCGCTACGCTTCTTTCTCAAGGATTTACGTTCGGCCCAGTAAAGTCGAGGCGTAACGTGTTGCCATGTTACATAAAACGCCATCGAGCATTGTCTCGTGTCTATCTTTGGCCGGCATCCCTCGAATCACCTGAACGACTTTCACCCAGTCCCATTCCGCGTCAGATGAACAGGCCGGATTTTTCTCCCCAGGGAAAGGTATCGCCGTATCACGCAAACGGGTCATCCACGGCGAATAAATGGGTCTCCTCGACGCGTGCCTGCATCACCCGTGTCATTTTCTACCAGCCTTCCCCCCACCCCCCCCCCCCCCCCCCCCCCGCCCCTCCGCGATTTTGGCCCATTTAATCCTTTCACCTCACCGCGGCAAGATGGGCATCAAGAGAGTCCGACTGTACCGTAACGTATACGCCTTCTCCGCGAAACTGTTGCTATTCGAATCGACATATACGTGCAACTGCCGTTCCGCGAACCTCCTTAAAATCCGCCGAATCGTTCGCCCATCGCGCCCGTACTTTTCTATCTTCCGCTCCATCTTCGCGTTCTCGAATTACCGTTTGCACTTCGATCCCCGTGGATCAAGACGTCGCGTCTGTATCTCGACGATATCGTCGATCGCGATAACGAGGCCATTAAAACGGAGAATCCTCCAGCGAAAGTATAATCCCGTCGAAATGTTTTTAAGCCCGGGGACGGGAGAAAAGGACGCGAGACAAGTCCGATGACTAACCAACTCGAAGAGAGTTCGTAGTGGTGGCTGGGAATCGACCGAGATACACGCGTGTATCGCCCGAACGGGAAAAAGAGACGGAGTTATTTCGGGCGCCTAAACACGAAACTCGACTTACGAACTACTTCCATTTCGTGTACCGTTCCACCATGGACGATGAATAATGCATGGGACTTTTCGTGTAGGTTGAAATTTTGAAGGTCGAGATTCACGGCGTGCGCTCCTTATTGTTATCGACTGGACACGGATCACGTAGATCCGTGATACGCGTCTCGCTCCTCGCTCCTCGCTTTAGTGCTGACCCTTTCCCTCCAGATGTAGCAACACGCGCCAGCACCTGGTTTCCATCTTGTTCTTTCTTTCGCGCGGCAACGGGGCCTGCAATCAACCGGGGATTTCGTCACGCTGTGTACACCAGGGCTCCGATCGCCATGCGTTTCCTACTTTCAGCTGTAACACGTGCGATACGCGTCCGATAATAGCACGAAGGCACGATCGCTTTTTTCTCGCCTGTATCCCCGAGTATTATCGTCGGCCGGAAACTTATTGCACATTTGGCGCATTGGCAGCTGCAGTTTGTCGCATTGAAAGAAAACAAAATACAATGTGCCGACGTGGAACTCGTGACGAAATGGAACACTCGGGTATCGCGATTCGTGGGGCCTCGAGCGGGAAACTGCTTCGTGGAACAACGCGAAATGACCCTGTTCTTTGAGGAACGTCTTGGAGAGGACAAGACGATGCCTGTCTTCGCGATTTGGGTCACTCCTTGATCCTCCTGAATCGGCGCGAAGTTTACGGGCAGCGATGGTAACCATGTCGCGCAGTGCCACCTAAGGGGTGACCGTCGAGTGCTTATCGTAGAAATAGGTCGAGAAAATTTATAGGTCAGGCTGGTGTGCAGTCGGCGGGCGAAAAACCGGCGAGTAAACGACCCTTTGAGATATCGCAGCGGCGGGAAATAGGCTGTCGTTCAACTTGTCTTGTTCCACGAATATTTTTGCGCAATCGGATTCTTGTTAACCCTTTCGTTTAACCCTTCTCTCGCTCACGACGCAGACTTCGCTCGTCACCCCGTTACGACACGGTCCGAATTCGGTCGTTACGAACGCGAGTAACGAACCAAGCGTGTCTTATCCAGACACGTGTAATATTACTCTGTCCTTTGTTCCTTATCGTGATGCAACCTTAGCTTACTAGCTGCGCGATCAACGTCGTTGCAGCGAAATGGTTGACGTCCATTTTGTGCATCCCGATTACCAAACGTGCTTATGAATTATTGCAATGCGTTTTTATCTGCCGCTACCTTACTGTCAAGGTAAGGCCTCCCGATCACGTGTCAAGAGCATCGCATTATCGAAGACTCGAACGCAAACACGCTTGCCTTTTTCGTCTTTCTAATTCGAACGTTATCGTTTCTCCGACCATGTCGCGTATTTTTCATTCCGCCTGGATCTCACGTCGCTACCATACGCATTATTTTTCTGTCGCTTTAGGAAACGTAAGAACGCTCGTGTAATTGTATAAATAATCGATCTCGTCCTCGATTCCGCGAATGCCATTCGCGGATGTCATGCGAGATTACGGACGGATAAGTGCGATCGATTTTCCCATGTCACGCTGAAAAGCGCAACGCAGTGGCTGGCAGGATCGAGACACGGGTAACGATTCGAAATTCACTGATCCAGCCTACCCTTCCGCGACCCCGTCCAACGATAGCCATTACCGCGACTTATCTTCGCTCGAGCTGACGAAGAGTTTGCGGAACGGGAGCATGTGGATGTCGGAGAGATACGGAGAGAGACTCGTATCGAAAGTCGCGTGACGAAATTGCCAGTTTGCGCGAACAGGAACAGAGCGCGGTTTGCGTAGGAAGCGTCGCGACGCGGATCCGGGACGCGAGACTCCAGCGTCCCGGTAATTAATTCGACGCGCGATCCAGCGTGGTAGGAATAATTTTACCGCAGAAACATAAACAGGGGCTCGATGGAAAGAAAGTTAATTCTAGGACGCGCTATCCTGGAGGACGAGGTGGATATTTGGGCCATGACCAGGTTGCGATCAATATAGCGTCCCGTCGGCGAAGCATCGACGAAAGTCTGCCAACAACATCGGGACGACCCTTATGTACACCCTGTGTGTGAAATGGATTCATTCTGTACCAACACAAGTGCGTAGAACGCGCCGGGGAAGAGGAACGCGTCCCTTCTCCCGGCCACGTTTCGATTCGGATGATCGTCAATTTGCTGATACCTTGTCGTTATTCCGTCGGTTATTATCGAAACAATGCTGCGTATTCATTACGCGTCTATTATCGACGACGTCTCCTTTGTCCCGCGGATTTTTCTCTTCGCGTAAAATCATTACGCCTGGTCGTTGCAGGAACGGCGAGCGTATTCGAATCCGGAGTGCCGAGACCTCGTCGATACGCGAAACAGATCGAATTTTATAGAGCCCCCTCGGCTCTCGCTCGTTTTCCGGCTAAATTCACCCCCTCGAGCTCGAACGACGCCGGGGCGTAGATCGTTGAATGTTTTTCCTCGACGCGTCGAGCAATTCGTAAATGACTTGTAAATAATTTCCACGAGCCCCGAACGGGGGACCTCCTTTGGTAATTTGCATAACCGATTATCGACCGACCCGTTCAAACGCACCATCTTAACTCGTGCCCTGCGCTTCCGTTTTCTTTCTGTTCCAGGCACACATGAAATTCCCGACGGATTATCCGTATAGTCCACCAAGCATTCGGTTTATGACGAAAGTTTGGCATCCAAACGTATACGAGGTGAGTAAATACACGGAATTATCGATCCTCAGCGTGTGCCTCTACTTTTCATCCCCTTTCGCATCGTTCCGCTGTTTTTCCCTCGTCCTCGTCCTCGTCCTCCCCTTTCCGATCTCGTGGCTGTCGCTGGATCTTTCTCTCCCAGTCCGACGTGTCCCCTTGCTACCCTTTAGCTTTCTCCGATTTCCTCTTTGTCCCTTACCCTCGGAAGGACTCCGCGAAAGCAACAGTCACGAGAGTACGTCTCGTTCAGCCAAGTACTAGTTTGAAAGGTACGCGCTGCGAGAATCGATCGATCGATCGATCGTAATTTCCCATGGAAGTATCCTTTATTTATAGATCGTTGCTCTGACCATCGTCCCGTATCGAGTATCAGGTTTATAATCGCGACTGAGCTCTTATCCTCGAAGAGACAGCGTCTCGAAAGGTAGGAGGAAATGGCGGCAGTCGAAGGTGCCTCGTTTCCGAAGCTTATCGACTCGGAGCGCATCTCTCGCGGGTTCTTCGTTTGACCCTTCGGCGACTAGCAAAGAGTCAACGACCGTCCAAAGCTCGTTGGACATCCGTGTCCAGTCACTTGTTGGAAGGGACGAGGCTAGGCGAACACGCCGCGGCTAACGGGAATAAACGCACGTAAATTTCATGCGTCGAGTAGCACGCATTAATTATACAATGGCCGATGGCTACGCAGAGGGGGATTATTACAGTGATACGAAAAGCGGCGTTTCAACGCGCGGAGATGCAAAGTCGGTATTTATTTGGGAAAACCCGCGAGCGTAGGTGAAAGCGGCGAGATATTTCGTAACGTAATAATCGATCACCGATAGGCGACTAATGAGCAATCGAGGAAGAAGAAAAGAAACGGTAACGAGGTAAGACGCTTTATCGCTGCACGAGCACGTCCAACTTTTCCCGATGAAAGTTTCGTTCCGTTATATCGTGCGAATATATGACCGACCGTTGCGCTCTCGCATACGCTATTTTCCGTGCAACGAATACTTTTCATACGTCGCGTCTTCCCGTACTCTCGCGCAGAGGCCAATGCGCTCCAACCTACCGTCATCTCCGACTCCTCTTCCTATTTTCCCTCCCCTCCGTTTCTTTACCATTTCCTTTTTCCTTTTTCCCCGCGAGATTAATCCTCCGCAGAAGCGCGAAGACGAAGACGAAGACGAAGACGAAGAAGAAGAAGAAGAAGAAGAAGAAGAAGAATACGAGTGCTTCGTTTAACGAGCATACAATAGACGGTCGGACGCGTGGATTTCCTGTCACCTCGATACACTTTGTAACCGGCACCGCGCGCAATTATCAGTCAATCGAAGCATTTGCACGTCGGTCGATCTTTTTTCACCGACGCCTAACGCGTACCGCCTTTGCTGCACCGCGGTAAACAGAGAAAAACACGCTCGTTACACGTGTGTATGTGTGTACGTGTGTACGTGTGCGTGTGTACCAAGGTATTACGGATATCTCGCGTAATTCGAGAACTAGAAGCAGCGAATTCCACGTAACCGTGGCGCGTTCAATGACGACCGAATGACTTTCTACGAAGTCCCTTTGTCCGCCATCGTCTCGCCACGTGAGTCACGTGTGCGAGAGATTTCTTGCTCCGCGGGGGATCTTACGGCCGTGCTGTAAACACGGGGACACTGTCAGACAATAATAGCCCTGCCGCGCGAATTTTTCCCTCCCCCGGCTATCACCGACGAAACGCCATTGTTCCCACGGAACTGTTTGACGAATGACAAGTTACAGCTACGCCGCTCGAATCTAGATAATACCATACGTCTTGGGAAACAAAGGCAACACGATCCTCTTCGCCTTTTTCACCGGTAGATAACAGGCCTAGGTAACGAAACGGGCGAGTTCGACGTCCTTGCTTACACCACCCTCGCGAAACCTTGCGCAGCGCGTACGCGGTTCATAGTTCCCGAAGGCCTTCGACGAATTCGCGTCTCCTTCTTTCTCTCGGTCCACTCCACTCTCCATCCGAGTCTTATCAACCGGTACGCTTCGATATTGCACGATATGACGCGTTTGATCGCAGAGTCGGTTGACCCTGGTACACCCACTCTTCCTCGAGTTCAGATACGCCGTTCTTCGGCCGGCGTTGAAGTGGAATCATTACAAAATCCGTAGGCTCGTTTGCCCTCGGCGGAGAGGTCGTCGCCTCAAGATTCGACGAACCGTAAAACGTCTGACCGGCTGTACGTGCACCGGCATACGGAGAGCGAGAGAGAGAGAGAGATTCGCGCGCGCGCTCAGGTTGCTCCCTGGCTGTGCGCTTACGCGAGTTACCTCCGTCTATCTGGCCGTGCCTTTGCAGACGAGGTGAGGTGCGCGTATACGTGTGTCGCAGGTCTGCTCGGCTGTGTCGGCGGCCTGTGTATCGGCACGAATTACGCGTGTATAGGTGCTGCCGTTTACGAGCCACTCTCTAAGGCCGTAAGGTGGAAACGCTCTCGGGTAAGGTCGCGCTTAGAACCCCGATCTGCCATTAACGGGACAGGATTCTGTTGGGGCAGCGGGCCCCGACGAGCACGGGCTACCTGTTAAGGGAGCTGATCGTGTTCCAGTGCGACTCGTGACTCGAAAAATAGTCACGTCACGTGGACAATCGGTAGGTGTTGCAGCTCTTCTGGAAATTCGTAGCTGCTCGCTAGTTATTCGCTAGCTGCCTCTTATTCCAAGGGGATTTATTCCTCGCGTGGAATATTTAAGCGAGAATGTTCACGGTGGGATAATACGACGGACCCTCGTGGCGTTGGAGCGTCGGAGGAAGATCCGAAGGGTATTTCGAAAAGGCTGTCGCGTAAATGGCACGCACACCCACGCGTTCTGTCAAGATATTTAGAAGCGTTGATCGTCTGCGAGGCTTCCTGTTTGGATCGGTCAGGACAGTTTCTCCTCCGCAGCAGCACGTTTCGCTATGATTCACCGTGATCGGAGGCGTGAAAGTGGTTCAGTCACCTCGTCAAAAATAATTTCGTCTATGCATCGAATTTTCGGTTAAATCGAGCATCGTCCACCGTGTGTGCTAGTCGCCACGCGTTTCGTCCTACGATCATGCGCAATTCGTCGGATACGATTATCGAAACGGAGCACCGACATTGGCAATGATCGAGTTGCATCTTCGCCATGCACTTTAACCGAGATATACAGGCTTGCCCGATCCCCTCGGATTGCCTCGAATTTACGAGAATCTAAAAGAACGATCTCGCGTATAGTCCTCCGATCGAGGGGTCTATTTTAGAGGCTGACCAGTGCTCGGCAAGGTTCTCACCTCGTTCGAAGAGATATTCTTCGCTTCTCTCCCTCTTCGCTCTCTCACTTTTGCCAGCGTCGCTAATTTTAAAAATTTACTCCTTCGGTGTTTTGCCCGTACATCTCGGTACGATGGCGACCGTTGCTCGGTCGAATACCGTTAAAAATGTCGCGACATGCCGAATTTCCTATCTCCGTTCGGCTTCTCTTATCTCGCGATTAGCAGAAAATAAATGCTAATGGCCACTCGTCGCGACAGCCCGATACAAATTGCACCGATGCTCCGATTGCACGCGAATGCAACGGCTGACGGGAGAAAGAGGTGCCGGCGTTTATTATATCTAAATTCCCGTCGTATAATTAAATCGGATATTTTCGGGTATCGCGCATCAAATAGGGGACTTATTTTCGCTTCCCACTGCTTGGAAGCGTTCGATCATCGGCCATCGCGACGAGCAGCAGCGGTACAGGCGAGCAAAGGCCTGTCCGAGGATAAAAGTTTATCGTGCATTTGACCATAATCCGGCAAGAATTCGCACGACCTGTTGCACACCGTTGAAAATCAAGCGCATCCGTTCCGACGTATCGCCGTTCCTTTTTCCTTTCAACGGGATTTCACCGGATCCTCGTCGGCCGCGGATTTCTGTCTCGCGTGCGCTTCCTTCGTTGCCATCCGTCTCACAGCGTAAGAAAATTTATTCCACGACCGGAACTCGAGTACGTTCCCTAAAAGTTTCTCCGCGGATTTCCGCCGTGTCTTCCTCGGGTTCGGATTTTTGCATCGTCGATCACGGGAGTATCGCGCGCGCGCGGACATGGTCGATGGATCACGGTCCTGCGATCACCTTACCAGCTGCGCCGCGATCTAGAGACATTTTCTGGGCGCAATAGCGGCCGCGAATTTTCGGGAATCGTGGTGGACTGAGAACCAGAAGGACGCTGTCTATTTCTCTTTCTCGCTCTTATGCTGGCCACTCGCCAACGGCACTGCGGTATGCCATGCTTTTGTCCACAAAGAGCGTGCTCACCGCGCGAATATATATCCTCGTGCATCCTTCTGCACCGTTCCCGTTGAAGTAGCCGAGGCCGATGGAAAGCAGGAAAAGAAAAGAAATGTACGCGTTCGGCTCTTATCGGCATGACGGTCGATCTTGATACGACGGCGCGCAACTTGGACGCGAATCGGAGGATTTCGCAAGCTCCGATTTCCGGGAAAGTCGAACGACCCACTTCCATCTCCTCGCGCTCGTAAAATCGCTGCTCGATAGCGCGTAAATTTTCACGCGTGCTCGTTTCCCTTGCAATCTATTCCTTTTTTCTTTTCCTTTCTTCCGTTTCTTTCTTTTCTCGTTCCCTTTTACTCGTTTTCCGCGTGTACGGGTGAAAAGAGGGAAAAGGAAGATAGAAAAGGAAAACAAGGTTGCGCACGTCCGTCGCGAAAATCGACGATAGCGTGTGTACTCCGTGTGGAACAGTTTGGCAGGAAACAATGGGTCCGCGCGCGGAAAACAAACGACGGTGAAAGTCTATTCGCGAACAGGCGCTTTCCTCTCGAAGGAGAACCATTCGCGGAATTCATCCGTGATCGCGATTCGCTGCTCCGGGTGTCCGAGCGTTTCGCAATTACCGCGCGATTAATCGAAAGAAAAGGTTTCGGCGGAGAAAATACGCGCGAACTTGCACGTACCCGAAACGCGCAAACACTTTTGATAGCCGAGAGTGGCGCTGTTGGCTTTTATGTAGTGATTTCTTATGCCGATCGATCGGGTTTAAACGCTTCAGTGAACCGGGACGAGCGTTCCACGAAGACATACGGTGCTAGAAGTCGCCCGTGTAAATGCTAATCGAGATTACCGAGTAGATTAGTAGACGTTTCGACCGGCTGGATGCGGAAGTGGTCGGCTGGTAACGGTTGACAGACGAGAAACTGCACACGACTTCCTTTCAATGGCCACCGTGCATCGTCACGTTGTTTCGTCCATTGTTACGCCCGTCCGTAACCTGTCGATTAAATCTAATTAACTATCGCGTTTCCGCGCCCATTGCGCTTTTCATTAGTAGATAAATTAGCCCGTATATCGCGCAAATCCGATTTGCATCCGATTATATTCGCCTCTGCTGGAATCGGTGAAACCGATCGAGAGAACGAGCGTGTGCGTACCGAAGCCGTTGTTGCTCAACTTCCGAGAGCAAACATTTCCTTGCGTCACACGAGATTTGCATCCAAGTTACGGACCACCTTCCCCGGAAGCATATGCGGCGAACGTCGCCATCGCGAGATTCGACGAAAGTCGCGTAAAATCGCGATCCCTCCACCGTTCTCGACCATGAGAACGATGAATTTCGCGAAATGAATCAGACATGCTGACGGATAACGCATGGAATGATAATCAGCCGATGTCACGGAGTGGCCGCAACCTCTTTTTGACCGGCTGCCATCGCGAAGAATCGGTTACATCGACCGGCTTGCTTGCTCCGATCTTCTTACACGATCAAGAGGAAAATGGACACCGAGAGAAGTTTCTGCAATCAGAGTCGTCGCGTGTTTGCGCTCTTCTGAAAGAGCCGAGGCGGCATGGCCGTGGCTCGAGCTCCGAATATGGCGCGTAAAGGGGACTGGACAAGGATTTTCAGGTTCGCGAAAGACACCACGAGGTTTTGTCCTTCGACCCATTCCAGGCTCGTTTCCACGTTGGGCAATGCGCCTTCATGGACGATTAAACGCGGAACTCGCCTTCTTTCTCCTTCTGTGATCGAAAAAATTCTCTCCTCGCCATAATCGCGATGGGTTGCCCTTGATAATTCGTTTCAGGGACCGAGATGTTTATTCGCCGAGCGTTGGATGTATTCAAACATGTTTTTGTTCCTTGAGTTCCTTCGTACTCCGAGTCCGCTGTTAGTATGTCTATAGTCGGATTATTGCGAATGCCTGGAGTAATCGCATTTCTGTTGTGTTACGCAGAGCGGAGATCTATGCATATCGATCCTGCATCCACCGGTAGATGATCCACAGAGTGGAGAACTGCCATGCGAGAGGTGGAACCCAACACAGAATGTCACGACATACGTACTTGAGATTATGCCGCTTATTATTAGATGTGCGAGTTAACGATATGCAAAAACGATAAACGAGTTCTGGTTTTGGAATAGGACGATCCTGTTGTCGGTGATTTCGCTGTTGAACGAGCCCAACACATTCAGCCCTGCCAACGTGGATGCCTCCGTAATGTATAGGCGCTGGCGCGACTCCAAGGGTAAAGACAACGAGTATGAAAATATCATAAGGTACAATAATATTGATCTATTCCGCATCCTGCAGTTTTTTTCATTTATCGCCTACGTGACATTTGCCTTTTTCTCTTTTTGTCTGCGACATTACCGCGGTAATAAATGTTCGATACATACGCGCTGGTGTAACGCAAAATTTATCGCGTCGCAAGTAGGTCATATAGATTTAAAACACTGTGCAAGTTAGAGAACGGAGGAAACCGTTGGCGTTTTGGAGAAAAGACACGACGAAGGTCGGGCAAAGAGATGCTAGTACACCCAAGAAAGTGGTTTGTCGATTACAGAAAACAGGCACAGGCAGCGAAGATGGAGGCTGAGAAAGAGGGAATCGTCGTACCAGTAACGTTGGAAGATTACTGCATCAAAACTCACGCGAGGCCAGCTGAACAGCAGCTAGACATGACGGATTTCTATGATGACGAGTACGAGCTGGACGACGACGACGACGACGATGATGATGCGGTACAAATGTGCGCCAGCGAATACGAAGACGATGACGATAGTGGCAACGGAGAATCTTGATTCATTTTCTGGATCAACTAAATAAACTCGAAAACGCTAATTATTATCAGTTCTGTATAGATTAATAAATTAACGGGCTTCTAAACCGGACGCTCTCTCTTTTCAGACGTGCCACCTAAAATTCAAGTACACGTTCAGAAAGAACTTATTCGTCGTTAGATGTTTAAGTAGAAACGTATCTTCGAATGCCGTCGATTGTCGCGACGTTATTCCTTGTCACGACGTTTTGAATGAAATCAATTTTAACTAGGTTGATTAATCGTTTGCCGTTATCTCGATCAACGTGATCACCTAAGCTCGAATAGTTTCACGGTGAATAACTTCATTTCTCTTTGCTTACGTAAAGATCTCGGTTCAATTTTCGTTACGTTGTGGCGCGAAAAGAACGAAACGAGACTCTGTTTTAGAACGATACACGTTGGAAAGTGATATGCTTTAGAAATCCTTGAACAATAAAATCCGAGATGTCCGTTCGGAATTCTAGGATATGGTAAATTATCGAGAATGCCGTGTTTATAAGCTCTTTAACTTAAGCAATATACGGTATAAAAATAAGTACTTTGTTAGGAGCACTGTGCTTGTTGTGTTGTGGTTGGCACGTCGATCTTTTAACTAGGTAAAAGGAAACAGGACCAATTGATTTACCTTAATGGTGATCAACGTTCGATAAAGTTAATCATGATGAAAAGTACAATGATTGGGCTGGCTCAAGTCTTCTTTATCCGTGTGTCGTATTTGAAATTATCAGTAGGTATATCAATTGATCCTACATTTCCAATCTTCGATAAAATTTACATTGAATAAAATTAAATTTTTCTGTTTCGTATGATTATTTATGCTATAAAGCCAAAAGTTGAGAAAGAAATTCGGATGTGTGAGAAAATAACAAACTGCCAAAAAAGACCTGTTAAAAACATTCTTCGTAGTCGTAAATTTTAAGACAGCAGGTATATCGTTTATAAAATTTCTTTTCGATCGAAACTCTACCTAATAATTTTCATTTTCTTTTTTTGTTTTCGTTTTTCCTGTTTTTTTTTTTCTTTTTTTTTTTTTTTTTTTTTTTTTTTCTTTTTTTTTTTTTTTTTTTTTTTTTTTTTTTTTTTAATGTACACGCAGATTTATATAAGTTTAATTATTATAGACACTTGTACTTCTTTATAATAGATCTACGAGGATTGTCCTGTGCGAATTAATGCAAGATTTTAGGGCAGGTCTTTGGACAGCTTGTTTATTCATGATTTTTAAACGTAGGATATAATTTTTTGCTATGGACGATACATCTTAAGTTTCAATGATTTATTATTAATATCGCTAAATTTTTTGAGAAAAGTACTGAAGTACGTTTATGAACTTCTACGTGCATTGCGCTACATCCACAAAGTTAGTTTAGCTTATAACGATTATTAAGATCTCTTGATGTTAAGTATTATCTTTCACACGGGGATGAAGCTTTGTAGGTGAAGTTGATTAAACATAAGCTTACTACTTAAGTGAAAGGAATACCAGATACAGCTAACCTACTCTGTGGTAACGTATCTGTGCTCGTACGACTGAAATTGTAAATAGTACATGAAACCCAATCTTAAAGACATGAAATGTGTAAATGGTACTTCTATCTTCGTTCTTCATTAGCCATTTTATTAAAAGACCAAAATTAAATGTTGAACAATGTTAAGCAGTAAAGTAAAAGCAAAAGGATATTTAAATTACAATATTATCTAAAGGAAGCATATACTCAGCGCTTGTAGTAGTATAGCAAAAAGTAAATATTCCCTAGTTCCTTGACATACTGTAAAACCTTTTTCATTTCATGTTGTCCCTAGCTACTTAATAATAGATAAAAATGTGTAAGACACTGACATAACGCTAATAATTTGTATACTACGTAATTCTTTTCTCCTTTTTTTGTACATACCAATAAAATCTCTTCGTACAATTTAATAAAACTAGCGCAACAATATTACGTACTTCGTTCATAGTTTAAGCATTACTATAATTTTTCATTTCGTACGATACATCGATCGATATAATTTATATATAGATTGATAAAAAAAAAAAAAAAAAAAAAAAAAAACACTTTGTTCTTTAGGTAAGTAAACATATCTTTATTTGAAAATGTTTCATTCAATAACAAGAATAGTTTTAAATCGATCTGTATTCAAAATCATCGTGAATGTCTAACGTAATTAACTTACATGTTCGACGTTTACAATTTCGTTTTTAGGAATACCTACAAATATGTGATTTTTAGGTGTACACGTCTTCGGTATGAATTTAGCGAGATATACTCTATAGCCAAATTGTTCAGCCTGTATTTTTCTATCGATATCGATAATAGTCATGCATTCGTAACCTTGATTCGTTTTAACATTCTTTTCGTCGTGCGTTTGATCTGCAGCGTGACAAAGTACTATGTATCTCTCCTCGTTTATTTCACTTCTAAAAATGTTACTCCTAGGGTATGTTAAATGATGACAACTGTGCAATGATCCATAACAACAAGGACAACACACGAAAATAGCCTTTTCTCTTATACATTGTCGTATGACTAAATCAGTTGCAACTCCGCACGCGTGCAACGACATACCGATATCAAAGTGTCCTTTAAAATAATCTAAATTACACTGGTAAAATTTTATGTTCGTTAACTTCAATTTCTTAACCCTCTCTTTGGCTCTATTCAACGACTTTTCTTTATTTTCTAACAGTATAACGGTACAATGTGGCAAAAGATGCGCGACCAAGATGCCCAAGTGACCGCTACCAGAACAGAAATCAACTATTATGTCTCCTGCTTTCGCTAACTTTATGACAGGCTTACACATGTTTTGCAACTGTTCGTGTTTTCTTTTTAAACGCGTAGGTGGCAACGAGCCACCTTCAGGAGTGGCATCAAACGGTATCGAGGACCAATCAAGGTTTAATTCTGCACCAAATGGTTCCGAGTCAAGATTGGTTTGTATGTTTAAGGTTTTGAATAACTGCAACGAGTTCTCCACATCGTCTTGCTTCGTATATATGCGACTTCTCGGTTTATATCGTTTCGGATCACTCTTATATAAACTTTGATTCGCTACATCAGGAAGCGTGTAATTGAATTTAGTCATGTCTTGGGTCTCCAACAATGGCAAACACTCGAGGCAGTCAAGTATAATCTGATCTTCAATCATTCTTTTATACCATTTAATAGTCAGTGGAAGTAACTTCATTGTTGTTTCACTCGAAAATACAGTCAATAAAATGTGAATACAGACAAATATAATTATATCCGCCAAAGTCAGATACGAACCTTCTGCATATGTATGCTCTGGTGTTCCGTCTCGTGAAATTACATTTTCATCGGAAAACTTTTTCGACATGGTATATTTATATAAATTGTGCAACCTAACTGGCTGCGACATATGACATTCAAATCTTGCCATACTCGAAGGCAATTTGCTTTGTATTGTTTCATCCACGTGTAAATATTTTACAGCTAGTATCAAATCTACCTCGCAAAATTTTGTCCAAACACTTGCTTCTGAACAAGCGGTTAGACACGAATCTTTAAATCCTAATAATTTCCGACAATAGTGCGTTGGATACTCTGCCGTGACTTCTTTAACTATTTGTCGCAGTATCGCGCAAAGACCAGCGATGCAACTAGTTTTATTAATAATGATAATTGGTAATTCGCATGAAATCGCGGAATATGGAATTTTATTTGTATCTATAACTTCATATACAAAAGTGGAAATGTCTATAGTATATGCTTGTTCGTGTGGCTTCCGTTTGCTTGGAACAAGCTTAATATTAATCTTAGATTTGCAGTATTTTACAGTAAACAATGTTACTATTGTTTCTATTGGCGCCAGACATAATTCTGTCACAGAATACACTTCCAAATAAGTATCAGTCATCTTTTGTAGCTGCCTGAGAAATCATAGAAACACGAATAAAAGAAATAAAAAAGCTATTTATTAAATGTTTGCTATACACTAGCTCTCAGTTGTCTGGCTACTTTTCTTATTATCCTTTGCCTTAGGACATTTTCACGCCAATAAACACTGATACAGGAAGTTAATGCCAAAAGGAACATAAATACCTGAAACTTCCAAAATGCTCGTTCCTCTAGCCAAGCTACCCTGTCACAACTGAATTATACATATTATTATTGCAACATTTTTATCATTTCTTTAGGCTATAACAAAGTGTAAAATAGATCAAATTATTTACCTTCTCGTTATAGTTTCACCACTTTTACATTTCACAACCTCTTTGTACCTGGCACGAACACATATATCAATGCTTTTACTTGCTATTTCAAAAGCAGAGCATGGATGACATTCCGATGTTACTTCATATTCTTCCCCAGAAATACATCTTGTATTATTTTCAAAATTCTCCAAATAAAGTTTGTTAGGATTATCGGTCCAATGACTTTCAACAATCAATACCAATACTGTTAATCTGAAATTAAAACGTAATCATTGAAAATATTATTATATAAACAATATGCGTGTTAAATAATGATACATTGATATTTGTAAAATAACTGCAATATAGGAAAAGATACAAAACAAAACTAACCCTCCTAATAATGTAATGCCAATTAACATCCGCTTTTTCGTGCATAACTCGATCATTTCGATGTACACTGTTTCATGAATTTTTGCTTTTTTGGTCAGGTTACGTGATTCATGTGGAAAATGTACAAAATTTTGAAAACAATGCTCGTAAATAAATCTAAAACTACTTATAAAATTGCACTGATCTTACTAAATACGTGTAGGTAACACGTGTTTTATAGTTAACTGTGTATACATTTTTCTTGTAAGATGGCATAGGAATTAAAAATTATACGGAAAGTATATGAGTACATTTTTGTTAGTTTTTTAATTTTTACATTACTTGGTGATCAAAAGATTAGTACTCGTCTATAACCACGAACAAGATATAGAATAGACATATCACCAAATGCATTTTTTATCCGCGTCTTGCCTTTAGAGTCTCTTTACCATTTTAGTGTCATTTCCAACACTACCGATTCAGCAGAGAATAAGATTGTAACATTAACAGTGGTTGGAATTAAAACTAACTTTAATTATGAAATTAGAAATAGGAATGAAAAAACAGGACGTCCTATAACCTCAAAGTTCAATGTTGTATACTTTTATAATACTTCATATGAGCTATTGTTAATTCCAATTTGAAAATCAACTACATGCATTGGTAATTTCTTACGATCTTATTTTATTTTGTACATATTCTGAACACATAAGCAAACTTTCAACTTTAATATTGAAATAAATTGAATAAGTGTAAGATTCTTTTTTTTTATTCGGAATAATTCGAATTTTATAAATTACTTTCAAAAGTCACCCTTTAATAATATAAAATTATCAATAAATTTTTACTTTGATATATTCTAAATAAAAGGAAAATAATAAATAAAGAAAAGAAAAGAATATCATTACATTATTCAAGCTATTTACTTAAATATGTATATTTGAAATTGAAGAATCATATCGGATAAATAATTATAACTCAAAGAGAGAAAACAAAAGGTAAACTAGTCTATCTTGATTTACACTTCAATACAATAATTGCTTTTTATTCTATATTCTCAAGATTTTAACAGAATTTTTGTGACTTCCAATTAAACTGCAAATATTTTATTTTTATTGAATAATTCTTAACTCGTCATGGCTTTCAAAGAGGAATCTCTGGAAAACGATTCCAATTACCAAGTCTTACTATGTAGAAGTTGAAATCCGGCCCATACATTGTGCCATCTTATCGGTGCATTCCATATCATAGATACATTTATCTAACTTAGAGCGAAATCAAGAAAGCAAAGTTGTCGTCACTTTATTAGCGTCTTACAAACCAGATTACGATTCGGTATATTAAATTCTAATATTTTACTTTCGCACCATTAATATTTTTCGAAAGATTTTCAAGTGATTCTCAGTTTTCCAAAAAATGGGATTGGAAGGAAACGTGTAAATGTAAAAGAACGCGAGTGAGATAAGAATTAAAATTAAAATTGCGATGCGATCGTTTGAGAAAACGACTTTAATCTAAGCGAGGAACTTTTGTGCACCAGGTATTCCTATGTTTCAATACCCTCCTGATCCTCGCTCATGTAAATCACAAAAATACATCATGTTTCTACCTTATATGATAAAAACAAATTAAAAAACATCCCAATATATGAAAATATATTCTGGTAATGTTAGCACAGATGCACAGGATGAATAGAGCCAATACACCCTCGTATCGATGTCGCAAGGACCATTACCCTGAAGATGATTCCAATGATTCAACGCATAATTCAGGTATTCGAATGGGAAGAGTGACTTACGAAAGCATAGAGTCATCGAGTACATGAGAGCACAACACGTAAGTTAATTATCGGTTCTTAATTATTAATATTTTGCATGCACAAATATTCATAAAAAGTTTACACATGTTGAATAAATAAATTGAATGCAATTAAATTTATTTAATTATCTTGTAAGCCTGTAGATCATACGAACTGAAATACCAATTTAAAAAAACATCAAAGATTTCGTTATACTATCCACAATGTGAAGCAACGAATAGTTGAAATTTCTCAGTAAAAATATGACATTAATTCGTGCCTCGATCAACTGTCGAAGTTTGATCAACGCGTGAAAATATTCTAAGCGTAGGTATCGTGTTCCAAAACATCCGTATATAATGCTCACTATGAAAACATTGCCTCGACAGCTGATTTTTCTAGGAAATCGAGGGATCGTGTTCGTGCACGCATATTCCGTCGAGCAAAAACAAAACATTGAAGAACTCGTCGTGATTATCTGATTGGAGTCTCCTGTAGTTTGTCGACCGTGAAAACTCTACCAAGTTCAAAATTTCAATTTGCCCCGCGGCTTTGAGTGGTAGGAGAAGCGAAACGCTCGCGCCTAATTGGAAATTGCTAAGCGAAACTGCGGCGCGGGGTGTCATTCTACTGTCGAAAGTCGCGACGATAAGACGTATCAACTCGCTCGAAGTGTGTGACCTATCGGGTACGTAGTACTTTCATTTCTTTTTATTACCATTTATACATTATTAGCTTCATTTACTAAATCATTTATCATACATTATTACGATAAAGCTAAATAACTTTTTATATTGTTTTTGTCCCTGTTTCTTTGGTTGTACATTTGAATATTGCAGTTACCGCCAGCTGGTATCGTCAGCTTTTTGTGGCAATGAATATGTGAGTTCAATTATTGCTTTATTTTAATATTTATAATTGGTTTCGATGTTATACATTTATTTTAAATCTTATACTCTCGTTTGTGCATACTATTGGTTGATTGCAGTGGATTGGAGATGACTTCAAAGGAATAGGGGTTAACAGTATGGATGCCACGATGCTCAATGGTTTATCCAATGATATTTCGTGATACTTTGGTAACGTTTATTTTATTCTAACAAAGGTAAACATATGTATTATCTTTTTATTCGACTATTGATAACCTTTAATATACAAGTAAAATTTCTCTCATTAAATGTAATTTGCAATTCATGATTAATATGTAGCATAACGTAATACACATAATTTCGTGATTTATTTAGAATACTGACAATCGTTCATTGTCAATACTTTCACTATTTCTACGAATGAGTCGTAATAACTTTCGATGCAAGATCGAGCGTGTAATGTTTGTAATGTTATTATGCTCCTCGATCACATTTAATTGAGAACTTTTGATTTGTTGCAAATATCTTCGAATCTTTATAATTTAAAAAAGAAAGAAAACGTGTAAACAAAATATTTTTCTCCTACTTTACCCCTCACTACTTATCAATTTTATTTCCAGAGTATATCTTGTGAACGTGTACAATGTGGTTGAGGTAAAATCAGTGTTTGTTGTGTTATAGTTTGTTTTAAGCATTTTTTCGGAGTACAACAATTCTAACTAAATTCAATTGCAATAATCACATACGAGAGTAGAGTCAGTGTGTGCTGCGCATATTTTTATTAAATAAATTTGTGCACGATATTAGAGTCTGTGTTGTTCGCCGAGTATAATTTAAACGGATGCGTTAATAGTGTAGTCCTTCATTTTTTTTTTAATCTACATATATACATACTTTTGTGCGTCTTTCGAGATTCTTCGATGCTTCAAAAGTCAATAATGTAAGTATCTTTGTATACTGTACTTCAATTAATTCTTTCCGCTTCGATTTACTAATTATTAAATGTATAGAAGTTCTTGATAACGAACTGCGAAATAAAAATTTTTCTTTCTATTTGTAAATTTCAACCTTCCATATTAAAGTTCGTTAATTTATTTTCTTGAAATAATGAATATTGATTTTAGAAACGAATTATAATATTCCATGTTTCCATGTTTTTATAGATTTTTCGAGGGATCCACTTCAGTGGGGTCAATGGTTCCTGCTTGGCGGCTATTTTCATGGTGATGGTCTCCAAGGTGGCTACTCCCGTGCTTGCAGTCCCCATGATGACATCCTTCGCATCTAATGGTAAGTCGCATGCGTTTTTGTTCTTCCGGTCACTCAATTATGCTGTAGAATAAAAGATCCGAGTCGGCACGGGCAACTGATTGCATTAAGCAGAATTTTTGACGAGCTCATCGACCGCGGGTAATTATCGTTCCCGTGAGTATTAATTACTTTTTTTGTACTTAATTTACTAGTTCAGGATAGGTCTTCTCGTATACCGCGTTTCTGAACATTAATTATGCGATATTAGTAACTAACAGGCAACAAATTTACACTGTACTTATGTTTTCAAAAACTTGCTTTGATGAAGAGATCGCCTAAGCGTTAATAGCTCTTTTATTATTTTTAATACTTTTTTTTTTTTTAATAGCGTTTAATTTTCGTTACAGTCAATTATCTTATTGCAGGGTTTATTGAATTTTTAGTTTTTTAATAGGCAACTGAATGTAGATTTTCTATTAAGCAGGTATTTTTTAATTAGAATACTTTTAATCGGATTTATAATTAAGTAGACTAGTTTTAAATGAAAATTTTAGCACATAAGTATGGAGTTGTTAAGAAAACAGTAATTTACACTGCAGTATATAAACAACTGTACATTAATGTTTGATATTTATTAAGAGCTAAGTAATTAAGGATGATAACATTTAGCTAGTATTTAAGTCAGGTAAATATAATTCTCTGTAGTACATATTTAATTTCTTCTTTTTTTTTTAATACTTCTTAATTATCAAAAGCATTTTGTTTCCATATTAATAGAAACGTGAAATATTGATATATGTACAAAATATCGTTGTATATAGAATTATACTGTGGATGTAAAATTTAATTTAAACTTTATTTTCAGGTTTAGCCTCCCGCGTCGGTTCCTCTGAAAATTCCTTTTGTTACTTTGCACAACGGTAAGAAATTAAACGTTCTGCAAATGTACACCACATGAGAATTTATTTAAAAATAGATAAACTTTTGGAACGCGTTTTCATATAAAAGGTTTATTAGATTAGTGGCGACGTCCTCATTGGTTTGTAAAAATTTTTCATTTTCATTTTGTAATTGTTTGGGATAAAATATTATATTCCAAAATCTAAGAGAATATCATTATATTCCTGAGGTTCAGTCAGGATGTATTAACTTTTTTTCGTGTAGTATACAGTAGGTTATGGAATTAGAACTCGATCAGATTCATCATAAAATTTATTTGAACAAAGTTGTGATCTTCTTTTATTTAAATTAATTCGAAATTATCTTTTCATGAAAATAAAACTGAGTTTAGATACATTGTGAATTTTATTCTCTATATGATACGTAAAATATAGGTATTTTCAGTTAGAGTAGTGTATACATAATGGTGAACCATCATCTTTGTAAATGGATTTACACTTTGCAATTTATTGTATCCTATTATGATAAATTAACAGGAACCAGTTTGTTGGATGTTTAGGAAATTGTATTAATTAATGTAAGGAGCTGGGTAATAATGTATATTACTAATAACAAATGATAAATAATGCACAGATTATAAAAATATGTTTTATTTTTCACACAATTTTACATGAACAAATGCCATCAGGCAATAAGATTGATTATAATAACCAATTTAATATCGATTTAATATATCAAACCCGCGCTTTCTGAGATAATCTTACTTACAAAGTCCGAGGGCGAGCAAAGCGCGATTAATTTGTATAAAGCATTATATTAAAAGCGATAGAGGTAGTCGCGACAGAGAACAGCTTTTTCTTCGCAGCTTTGAAAATCGAGTATTATCGTCATATGTCTTTGTATTATGCAATATAAAAGGCACGTGCAAAAAGGTCCAGAATTGTTTGCTTGTCATGGAAATAGGGGGGTGTATATTACTTGAAAATATAATTTTTTTTTATTTAGAAAGATTTCAGCCTTACAAGCTATGTATGAATGGAATTTTGTATATATTTTTATGTATATATGTTGAAGAGAGAGGTAAACCCTGTATTATCTGATATGCCTTTTAAAGGGATAATTACAAATAAATAAAGATGAAGAAACGAAAAAAAAAAAAAAAAAAAAAAAAAAAAAAAAAAAAAAAAAAAAAAAAAAAAAAAAAAAAAAAAAAAAAAAAAAAAAAAAAAAAAAAAAAAAAAAAAAAAAAAGAAAAAAATAAATGATCAAAATTTGAATGACGACTACAATACGCGCGTATGCTTTTCAGGAAGAAAGCGTTTTTATTGTCACAAAATCTGTGACACAAATAATATTGTCGAAAGTCAATAATACAACCCAATTTCAAATAAAAATAAAATAGAATGGATTAACATAGCAGGAAGAAGAAAGTCTGGCGAGACAATTACTTTTTTTTAAGCAACACCTTAAAATGGCTAGTGTTATGTCTAAATCCGATTATACTTCTTTTAATTCGAGTAATATTGAAGAGTTATTATTGTCATATATCGTTGAAAATAATTTCTCAACGATAACGTCGATTTGCCCAGCATTGTGAGCAATAGTAATCATTTTCCGCTGAACCGAAAAATTGGCATTCTTCGTTACGACATCCTTTAACAGCAGCCTAAGAATGACAGGAAGTTATTTAAGTTTTATAATTATAATGAATATTTAAATACGTACGCCTAAACTATTGTTGCTATTCCATAATTCTGGCCCCGATTTATGAGATGATGGTTGGTCATTGTAAAAGGTAGATCTGAGAAAAGAATAATTAACATTAATCGATATATTGAAAACTATAGTTTATCAAAATATATTACAATGTACTACCTCGAAAGATAAAGTGTACGATCTTTATTCGGATTGGTCGGTAACAATTTACTAACACTCGCATGACTATCTCGATCACTGGCAGCATAGAACTTGGATTTGCCAGCACCATAATTCATTTCGCTACCAGTTTCATCAACTTTATGATCTTGCAGGTACCTGTAGAGTACAGTTATATGTAGTACATGTACTGTAATTAAGACGAAAAGGAAATGTAAATATAATAGATTTCGGTACCTTGCGTGAGCACATTGAAGGTAATTTTGAAGCATCTGATCTACATATTGATGTCGTCTACTTCTGATCCTTACACATAATAAACCTTCTGTAGAAAGTCCGCCTGCCGTTGACGGCAGACTCTTTGGTCTCTTTGTTATAGACCACAGTCTTTTACTAACGGATTTTCCAATTGATCCGAATTGTTTAGCAACACCCAGCAATTGTTTTGCTGTTTTGGATAGTGAACCATCAGTATCGGATAATCTATCGATTTCTTCTGATGTGAAATTTTGATATTCACAGTCCAAATATTGTCGTAATAAAATTTCCATCTAAATATCAATATCATATAATTATATTTTAATATACATTGCATCCAGAGCCAATTTTATCAATATATAGTACCGTATATATATTTACCGTATCTTGCTGGCATGTTAGCAAGTCTCGAGAACCTTCTTCCCAGTCCCAATCAGGTCCTGGATCTACCGCGAATAAAACCGGTAATAATTGACCTGTATCTGGGTCTATAAGGGGTATGCTAACACCTTCATTACAACCATCTCCAAAATCACTCGCTCCGTCCACAGTAACAAGAGGGGAAAAATGAGCCGAGTGATACGCTAAAAGCAATGGAGTTCTATGACAACGAGACGGGGATACTTCTAGCGGTAAATATACTCCACCAAATGGAATTGGTGCTAAAGCTACACCTTCTGCATCTTTTAACATAGTTTCTGCTATTACTATTATAGGCCTCTTCAAAGCATGAGCCAAAGTTAATACATGTACCTACAAAGTTTTAACACCATAAATATTTAATAACACTAAAGTTGTACAAGAAAAGGTGCAGAAATTTTACATACTTCTTCAAGACTTTGATAAGAAGTAGCAGTTTGATTCCTGAAAATAGGAGAAGCCATATCTACAATAGTTTGCCATTCTGTTAACCACTCTGCCTCTGTATAAGACAATCCTGCTGCTGCATTTAAACCCATTTGACGCCATTTCCACCTTCTAAATAAAGCATGTTTATACTCTCCTTTAGCTAAAGTATTATGCAGTGCTTCTCTTAGTGTAAGAAGCCTATCGTGAAAGCCCCACATGCCAAGAGAAGCTGCATGTAGAAGACAATTGCCATCTCCTGATGTTGCCAAAGGCCATAAAACTCTATTATTTCCATTTTTACCCCCACACCACCAATTTAAACGACCAGCAGTTTCCAAAGAAGTTAAACACCCACCTTCTATCAAATCTTTTTCCAAAAACTGGCGAAATGAATCTAAGTATAATATGTTATTCAATTAGTAAAATATAATAGAAAATATAATTGTAACTGTTATATTAAAGCATAGACAAAGTACCTGGGTATACAGTTAAGTCAGGAAGTGAGAATGTAAATTCTGGAGTATCTAAAGATCCTATAGTAGCTAACTGAGAACGAGCATAAGATACTATGGCTGCATTTTCAGTTGCTCGAGATATACCTCTAGCCAGCTTCTTTGTAGCTCCTCCTCCACTTTCCAATGCATTATTAGAACTTGTCTCTTTCTCCAAACCATCGTATGTGGATAGTCCTACGTTCATTACACTGTCTTATTGCACCTATAAAGTAGTAGTTCATCTAAAATTTATGATATTATACAGTTACAACAATGGTAACAAGATATCACAGAGTATATATGTGAATCATTATATAATTTGTGATTAAAAGTTAAAACAAATAGAGCAGTTAAATGGCTTTACACAATGATATACATCTATACATTGGTATACAGAAATAGGACAAGGTGACATTAGTAATTTAATAAAAAAATAATAAGTCAGAATTACTATATACATAACAAATTTAATCATAAGTATAAGAAAAGGGAAAATCTGCAGGTGATGAAAGAATATTTTAATCCTTAGGGTACGAAATATCGAAAGTAAGTAAATCGGATGTATGACGACATATATGTATGTATATATGGAGAGACAGCTTGCATGTATATGTACCTATGTTGGATATGATTATTTAAAAAGTGCAAACCTTGGCCCGTATATCGAATTAGCGCAGTGGAGCGTAGCAATAGAGTATCGTTAAATAGTATTCTAATTGGTCTACGATGCACAAGCTGCTCGTGCACTTTCTCATATTTCGCACCACGATATTAAAGACTGTCTTAAGAAGGCTGTCCACAATGTATAAAAACGGCTAAGAATCTGTTTGTACGGGCGGTGATATAAACACAACATAACCTACAACACGCAACCTCGAAACTAGCTGGTAGGAGAGTAAGAAGCGAATTATTATTGTTGCGCACGGAAGTCACCGTGAAACTTTAAACCGGTCACATGTCAAGATGACGAGTGGTACACTGTTATTATTTACGCAGTAGTGTTCCCACTCACCAGTAAACAGGTTGATGCGATCAGGATAACGCGATTAATTTTAAAATGCAAGAAAATCATTTACGTTACCGCTTATCTCATAATATTGTGTCGCTACTTAGAAATGCATTTAACCTTGAAAGTGTGCATTGCGCATCACATACCACCCACCTATATTCAAATACATCACGTTTGTCGAATTAAAAAATATATGTGAATCAATCAGTAATCTTTATTGGGTTATTGCTCTTTATTTTTATCGGTATCAGATTATACAATAATTCCATTTTTATAACAACTAAAGTACTACATTGTTTAATTTACTACGATAATCATATATTTCAGAGATTAATGTTTTCATTTGCTTGATAGCTTAAAGCGGGTTATATTAATTTCAATTACACAAAAATTATATTATTTGCATTTTTTATCGATAAAAAATATAACATTCATAATTGACAGTGTTTTATTTAAAAAATTATAATATTACGCAACCGAATAAGCCGCCTTTTAGATTGATTTACTAGCTTGCGCGCAAACGTAGCGCCACAGGTTATCGTTTCACGACATTGTAGTTCGTCTACCTTGCTTGAACGTAAGACGCGAACCATGCTGATATAGTAGGCGTGCACAAGTGTACGTAGTTTGTACTCGTGTTCGTTGTAAACCTCAAAAAATTGGTCGATCTTATTAGAAAAGTTTTGATAGTTCGCTACAAACGACAGAATAAAAATTCTTATATAGTAGATAAGAAAATTAAAAGTAATAATGATGAATAATTGGGGAATACATTTAATAGTTACTCTATCAGTTAATCTGTTGATTCTATTGGGCCACGTAGCCGGTTCTAAGGTCTTACAAATTCGTGGCATACCTATCGCGAAAAGTTCGCTTTATTCGCCGGATCGTGATTTTCAGTGTCTAGATGGAAGTTTATTAATACCATTTTCATACGTAAACGATAATTATTGTGATTGCGCTGATGGTAGTGATGAACCCGGTACCCCTGCTTGTACTAATGGTTCATTTTATTGCGAAAATTCTGGTCACAAGCCTCGTTATATACCATCCACCTGGATAAACGATGGCACCTGTGACTGCTGCGATGCCAGTGATGAATATAATTCAGGTAAGGAATGTCCAAATAATTGTAATGAACTTGGAAAAGAAGCTTGGTTAGAGCAGCAAAAGGCAGAGGAGCTAATCAGGGAAGGTAACAAGATAAGAATGGAAATGGTTGCTAAAGGTAAAAAATTGAAGACAGATTATCAAGCACATTTAGTTAAATTACGCGCAGACTATGAAAGCGCAGAACTTCTAAAGAAAGAGAAAGAATTATTAAAGACACAAGCGGAAGAACGGGAAAATGCTGCTCTAGAAAAGTATAAACCAGCTGAACCAGAGCAACCTGCACCGGAAGAAGGAGAAGAAGAGAAAGAAACAAGTGCAGAGGATTATTTCAAATTATTAGACTCCGATAATAGTGGTGTTGTAACAGTTGTAGAACTACAATCTTGGATGACATTTGACACAGATCACAATGGAGTTGTAACTACAGAAGAGGCCATGTTTTTCTTAAATAACAAGAAAGAAATTAATCTTCAAGAGTTCACAGACTCAGCATGGGCAAACATCAAGCCTTTCGTAATGTTGGAACAAGGTTAGTTTATTAATGATAGGCTTCCTTTCATTTTTTCTGGAACTATGTAATACACCAGTATCTAATTTTAGGGGTCTTTAAACCAGCTGATCAGAAAGAAGAAGACGAAGAAGAAGAGGATGAGATTCATGAACCTATGGAAGAAGGATCCGAGCAAGAGAAAGAAGAGGATGATGGTTCAGACGCAGAAGAGACTGGCGAGGCAGTTGACGAACAGAAGAAAACAGAAGAATCTCAAATACAATATGACGAAGAAACGCAGGCTTTAATTGATGAAGCAACACTTGCTCGCGAGAGTTTCCAAGAAGCGGAGAGAAATGCAAATGAGTTAATAACGGAGATTAGAAAATTCGAGGAAAAATTAGATCGCGATTTTGGTGCCGAGCATGAATTCGCATCCTTGGATGGTGAATGCTTCGAGTATACAAATTTAGAATACGTTTATACCTTGTGCATGTTTTCGAAAACGACGCAAAGATCGAAAGCTGGCGGCAACGATATTACTTTGGGTCATTGGAACGATTGGAACGGACCAGAAGGACGAAAGTATTCCAGGATGAAATACGATAGGGGCCTTAACTGTTGGAATGGGCCTGCTCGTTCTACCGTAGTTAATTTAACTTGTGGTAAAGAAAATAAACTAATCTCAGTGACGGAACCTAATCGATGTGAATACGCCATGGAATTTTCCACTCCAGCCGTGTGCAATGTTAGCTTGGACTCTGCTAATTTACACGATGAATTATAAATTTCATATCGTATAAACGCGCAAGATGTAATATTACACATGCGACTATATGAGTTTGAAACATAAAGGACATAAATAGCAAGGATGAATAACAGGTCTGTTTTTTGAACACTGAACACGTTACGATTAACACAGAAAGTTAGATCAGTCGTGAATTTGCACAATGTTTTTTATTATCAAAGGTAAATAATGTCGATAAGCTACGGTAAGAGGCCCTAGTCAACCCATGCATGTTACGTAACGATAATGACATCGAACATTGAATCCGTATTCTGTTATTCGTCCTTGCATTAGAAATTCCTTGTCGTTGTACTTGTATACTAAACAAACGGAATTCGTAGCCGATAACACAGTCGTAAGTTATCGACGAGCTCAGTTTGCTTAAATCGTAGAAAGACATTTTAATATACGTGATATGTGAATGAAAAATCGTTGTTACACGGTCATTGCCAATATTATGTCACTGTTGTACATTCCTCTTTTTGTACGAGACAAATTTTTACGAGGAGGTCCAACTAAAATGACCTAACCTGCTTTACTCGTCGTTAGGTCACTACGCGATCGAACGATGATTTTTCTTGTCAAGTTTTACAAAACTCTTATCAAAGTAAATGAACTGAAACAATCACACTCCCTCTCTCACACACACATACGTACACGCACACACACACACACACACACACACAAATTTATACAAACACAAATGCAAGAATGTCAAAAATAAAGAAATACAAACCATTTTTCAAATTCCTAAATTGCCACGTGTAACGTAGAAATTGTATTCAGTGTGTCGAGATATTTTGTAATTTTTTAAAGATGCGTCCCGTGGTTGGTGCATCGGAATGCAGGTTTAATAAAGAGAAAAAAAAGGTTTGGTTGTCGAACTGTAATTACGATGGCAGCTTTATTTACATTAAAACGGGCGATCTTTACTCTTTCGTATTATATGTATACGTATGTATATATATATTTATATTTTTCTCAATTATGCGAATTCTTATACGTTATAGTGATGGTTAATTCAATTTTCTATTTATGTCTCGTTAATCTAACAACCTACGCGTATCTTTTGGAGTTTGGGACGTCTATAATCAACTAGAAAACTAAAAAGGGATAGTGGTCAAGAGAAAGGGGGAGTGATAAACGTATCTGCGCGGTTTATCCAACGATGTTCGCAACCAGTCGGTTTCTCAGTACTTCGTTAAGGCACTTAAAAGACTGAAGAGAAGTTGTATCTTGCCTTTCACGCGGTGTCACGTGACAGAGACGATACACTCTAATGTCTTTTTTCACCCCACGATGATCCGCCATTTCCCTTCAAATTGTACACGACGAAAAGTCACGATTTATTTGGCCACAACGTGGAATTTATGATTATTCCAAACGGTACAGTCGTTAATCGAAAATCAAAAAATATGTTCCATGTATCATATACTCATAGAAAAGAATTGGAAGCATTTTCGCTGTTTCGAAATCTGGAAAGAGTAGATCGGAAATCTAACAATAGTCTCTGTCAGTTTCGCGCAGTTCAATATTCGACACATAGAAACAACTAGATTGGTATGGAAAGGCAGCATTTCCCATAGATTATCGCAACATTTCTCTAGATATGAACGATTTTCGAACTATAATTTTTTCTCTAACAACATACCCTGTGTTCGCTTCATGGCTCGCTCGGCCATTGAACAACACCTTCCCGCATCGCTTCCATTTCTATTATCTCCTACACTCTCTTATTCCTTCTACTCGTATCTTTTCGTCCGCGATCGTGTCTAATTCTGCAACGGGGTTTTTTCTCCTTTGTATTTACACAATGGAACGAAACACATTTATAGGCGCCTCTAAGCTACTGTACAACAAGAAACACTAAGTTCCTAACACGAGAAGTATTTGTAAGCACGACGCGCGAGTATGTTGCTTCGCGGTATCGCGCACCACCTAATACTGCATTTGGGCATAACCGGCAATCTCATCGTGTATGTGAGTTTTGTTACAAGTAAAAAAGGAAGAAGAAAAAAACGACTGCAACGGAAGAAGTTAAATATAACACACGATTCACAACTAATTACAGTTAGCAATTACGTTTAAACATGTTGACCTTAGAACTTTCTCGCCACAGACGAATTTAAACTCTCTTTACGTATTTATTCCTTTCCCACTTTCTACCTTTTTGGTGTTTACGAGTGCGAAACGAGGACACGTTTTATGAAAAACATTATAAAAATTCGAAGTAAACAATTTTACATTATTGTCCGCCTTATAGTATTAACCAGTCGGTCATCTTCGATCGTGCTTCATCGTTTCCAGCCTATTCAGTGTACAAATGAAATCTGGATATAAAAAAGTTTACAGGAAAAAAGACTTTGTATCGTTTCCATCAGTTTCTCGTCGTATCGACTTCTCCTCCGTTCAACATGTCGAAATCAATTAAACAATGCATTTATCGCGTGTGTGGATGTGTGTAGTGTTCATTTGCCGAGTTTCTCGAACATGATTAGTTTCTCTTTAAAGCTCTTCGTATCCGTGGATACCTCGGATATATTGCCGTTTAACATATTCTGTAGATCCTCGTCGTTCTTGCTGACAAGGAGATTGTCGAAGATCATCTTGTTGTCTTCCTGTTTAGCGACTGGAGAGGTAGGCTGTGACGTGGTGATCTGTTGCTTCTTCTTAGGGTAAATCACAGAGCTTCGTTGGTTGTTGCCGTTGTCGGCCATTCTGGTAACTATCGTGATGGCTAGCAGCTGATGAATGTCGATATTCTCCTTCGATTCCGACGACTGGCGCCAGTAGAATTTGTCCGGTGAGATCAGCGATTTGGAGTCGTCTGTGCCGTCCGCCATTGAGATTTGATCCGAATGCGACGTCACTATAGATTTATTGGTCCAAGGATCCTGAAAACACAAACGCATATTACATATCGCGCGTTTGAAGCCTAACCTACGATCGATTTTTCGTGAAAACGTACATTTTTATCACGTCTTTCCGCAACAGCGTCCGCTAGATCTTCCTGTTTCCTGTCCTGTTCCAAATCCCTCTCTAAACTGTCCAAGGTTTCGGTGCTCTCGGACGATTTATTCCTCCTCTCGGAGTCTAGAGTGTCGGTACTGCCAAGTTCCGAGCTTTCGGACGATTTTTGAAGTCTGGTTGGCTTCCTAACCGTGACGGATCTCTTCTCCTCCTCCTGATCGTCCGTTGGAACGATATCCACGTAACTGGTGCTAGGTATTCTCTTCGGTGTCCTTCTGATCCTTCTATTTTCCAACCTGTCGTCCGACTCCAGATTATCGGAGCTCTCAGACGACATCCGTTTCGAGGACCTCCTGCAACATTTACCGAAGCTGTCCCTGGCGTTTTCTTCCTCGTCTTTGGGCTCGTTTATCTCGATTCTCTCGAAATCCTCCGACGATTTGGATATGCTCTTCGATAGCCTTCTTCCTCGAGACAAATTGATATCTGAAATGCTACTACGTTTCTGAAGCTCTTGGACAGTCTCTGTCCCGATCTGCGTTTGCTCCAAGACCTCGAAGCTCTCCGACGACTTGGATATGTTCTTAGAGGATCTACGAGCGCGTAGCTCGAAGCTGCTCCTCCTACGCTCGATTGACTCGTCGCTGGTGAGCGCCTCTATGGCTTCTAGACTGTCGGAAGACTTGGACACCCGGTCGTTCGATTTCGATATCGGGTTCAGTAGTCTTCGGGTCACGGGTTTCGCTTCCTCGTACTCCATCAGCTTGTCGAAGCCCTCTGTCGATTTGGAGAACCAACAGGAACCTACCTCCAGACTGTCGGGCGACTTGGACAATCTGTTGGAGGATCTCCTTCGAGGCAGCTTCGATTCCAGCTCCTCGAACATCTCCGTATTCTTTGGTGTCCGATTCGACGGCTTTCTGACGATCGATCGGATCTCTGGCTGCTCGTTCCTGTTCACCTGTTCCTCGTTCACCTCGACGCTCGTTCGCGATCCCGACATATTGTCCAGACTGTCCGGAGACAGGGAGGCCGCGCTGGATGGCTTCCTCGGGAGCTTGGTTTCCAGCTCCTCGAAGATATCCGACGTGCGTGACAATCGGCTCGAGGATTTCCTCGTGACGGACACGTTCTTCGGTTCCGTTGGCGAAGACGCGTTGCTGTTGGCGCTTACCGTCTGCTGGTCCACGCTGTCCAACGAGTCCTCCGCGATAGTGGTGATCGTGGACGTCGACGCGTTGGCTGCCTGCGAACCAGTACGCCTCGGAGGCCTTCGGTTTTTAGGTCGTACCGAAATTCGGTGAAGAGCCGCTGTGTGGTTCAAGCTGGCGCTTTCGAGTTGCGCTACGGAGCAAACGGGAAAGGTTTCATTCGAATAAAATACACGATAACGTCAGCGGGACTTTCTATGCAAATGGTTATATCACGAATCGTTAACCTCGATACTTACGTAAATCTTCTTTGGCCACAGGGATAACACGATCGATCGTGTCCTTTGGCGATTTTGAGCCCTGCGGAAAGAAATCGGGGCAAATTTAATAAACGAATCTAATTTACCGTTGTTAAGGTTTAGACGAAAAACCGGTGCCGCGACGCCAACGACTGATGCGATTACAGCGGAAAATAGACCGTCGACCGGCTAGACGAACTATTCGTGACATTGTTCCCGGTATTGGAGCTCGGTGCATCGGCAGGCGGGCGCGTAAAGCGCCGGCTATAACGGTATTAACCACTATCGGGGCGAGCAAGTGCGGCCAGTTAACCGTGATCGCTCGAAACCGGTTGCAGGTGCCGTCTCGAAAGACACTTCTTCGCGAGGAAAAGCTTTCGTTCGCGCTACCGTGCGCCCCGCGCTCCGCGAATCCTCGCCGTCGAGCGCGTAATCGCGCTGTAAACAGCTGGTATACAAGTCGATCAGCGAATCTACATTCGTTTCGCGAAACGAAACTCGAATTTCTCTTTTCTTTGTTCGACACCGGTCTCTAACTCCGTCGCTGACACACTTTAACAGCTGTGCATTACGTTATGCCACAGTCGGGGAAAACAAATGCTCAGGTGTTGCACGAATTAAACACGCGTCATTGATTACGTTAAAGAGGAGGAGAAACACGCGAACGATCGATCGATCGATCGATTACCTCGATCGTCTCCTCGATCCGTGAGCTCGCGTCTTTGATTATCGGAAAGAAACACGCGAACGATCGATCGATCGATTACCTCGATCGTCTCCTCGATCCGTGAGCTCGCGTCTTTGATTATCGGCGGGATCCTCTGTCTGGTTTCTGGCTTCGAGCGTGGTCGATCCTCGATCCTGCACGAAGATCTCACCGATCCCTTCGCCTCGTCCTCCGGTATATCCTACATCGGTTCGGGCAACACATGGAATAATATACAACGCGGCTTTGCTAACGCGAAAATGGCGGGTGCTGATCGATTACCTCGATCGTATCTTCGGCTCGAACGGATTGCTCTTTCATCGCCTGAGGGATCGTCCGTCTGCTCTCTGGCTTCGGCCTCGCTCGATCCTCCATTCTGCACGCCGATCTTATCGGCCCGAACCCCTTGTCCTCGACCTTGTCCTTGCATCGAGATTTACGTAACGGGTAATTAGACGGTAATGGGGATATTTTATCGCGGGGAAATTCGCCGATCCGTGTACTCTCACGAAGCTCGTCGATCGTCCGAGGCCGGCGAATCATCGATCGAATCGAGAGATCGGCGAGGCGAAACGATCGAGAGCTTCGCGAACGGTAGCGTAGTAGCACGGATCCGCGTAGAAAATTTGCGGGAAGAACGAAAGAACGCGTCTGAATCGCGGCTAGTTTCTCCTTGATCGATTACCTCGACCGCATCATCGTCCTCGAGCGCGGCAACCTCTTTCTTAATCGAGCCGATGATCTTTCGCTGCCCGGTTTCCTGTTTCGGTCTTGACCGATCCTCGAACTTGCACACGCGCCTAATCGGGCCGGGTATCTCGTACTCGACCTTCTCCTTGCACCCGTACACGCCGATGCTGATCTTCGCCGCGGGCTGCACGTCCTGGAACCCCTTGCATCGCGCGTTATCCTGCTTCGTCCGGTCGATCAGTCGTCTCCTCTCCACCGGGTTCAGATTCAATTGCTCGATTATCGCCCGTATGTTGGACGATATGCTGCCTTCGCGGTGCGACACCACCATGGTCGCTTCTTTCCCGATCCTGCCACACCTCTCGCGATCCTAGCGCGATATCAACGCGACGCGACCAGGATCGATCGAGCACTCGCTGCTGCTACCACGATTTCCCAACGATCGCCAAGATAACGTCATAGGACTCGAGGCGTGGACTCGAGGTGTTGTATCGTTGTTGCTCGATTCTCTGCAATTTCACGCGCGGTTCAGAACACGTCCGCGAGTTTGCGAGTCTTGCGTTCTCCAGATGGCAAGAAGATCGAAAATCGGAATGGCGTCCCGCGACGATCGGTATCGCGAAAAAGAAACTTCTCGCGCGCAAAGGCAAACTTTCCAAACGATTTATCGTCGAGACGGGTCTTCCTCCGCGATTTCGACCGTTTAACGTCGATTATTCCTGGCTCCGCGAACACGCTCTTCAGCTCGATAGCGGAACAATCGAGCTCGTTCCTAATTGCGTTAACGAACACCGCGACCTACCTAGTTTTCGCGGTTAGCGTATCGCTTTTCTCAGGATTTCACGAGCGCCGCCAGAGCTCGTCCTCCTTTTCCCCCGACCGGCCTCGAGGGAGCCCGAGGACCGTTTCCCACGCGACCTTCCATCCCATCTCCTCGCCGGGTTCACCGCTAAATGGCCCGTCACGTCTCGATCGCGCATCCAGCAGCAGCAGCAGCAGCAACAGCAGCAGATAAGCCGGGGGAAAACTCTGGAGGGGAAAATGCACGCACTATACGCGTCACTCTATCGCGTTCACCGTGTTTTTCTCCGCGTTGCTGCACGCAAACCGTACACGGCTATCTACCATCGTATTCGGCCAAACGTTGGAGAGGGGTATCGCTGCCGTTGGAATTTCCAATCGGCGAGGAAATCGGTAGAAAATCGGTAGAAATTCGCTGCACTCGGAACCACTGTTCTCCCTCGCGCCAGTTGCGAGACCCGTTCTTGCAAAGTCCACCGCACGACGTGACGCAATCCGCGGACAAAACTGCACCCAGAGGTTTTTATACGATCTCTCGCGGTTATTGGATTAGCCTCTTCGATCGGAGAGACCGCTCGCGGAGTCGGCGAACGTTTCCTTCGTAAAATCGAGGCCAAAGACGTGCCCACGTCGGGCGCCCACGATGTTTACCCAACGCGTCTCTTCTCGAATAAAGAGCCGCGAGTGTTTCCATCGCCGTGAACACCCGTGCCGCGAGGTCATCGTGTCGAACCCCATGCAATTCTCGCGAAATTTCTCGCGAAATTTCTCGCGATCGCGACCAAGATCGCTGGTTCGAATATCTTTCCGCGAATATGGAATATGGTAACAGGTGCGGAGAGCGAATGGAGCGAGAACGTTCGCTAGATTTCCAACGTCCGTCTACCTTCGAGCGGCTGTAACACCTTCGATTCGTTATTGCAAAATCGCCGGTGTTCCAGCGTACGGTCACACCTCTACCACCTGCACGATCTGTCCGCTTGCATTCCAACCGGATACGCGCGGCGTTGGTGCGCCGCCGGGTCCGGCGGAAATTGCGGAACGTAATAATTTTCCACGAGAGAAGAGAAAGTGACGTCGGGACACCGTGGCGAAAGAAAACTCGAACGACGTTGCGTAACCGTTTAATAAACCTGCCGGTTCGCGACCGCTTCGACCTAGTCGCCACCGGGATTTCCTATCTTACGAGCTAGACTTGCTTACTCGAACGGAAAATCACCGAGAAATCCGTGGCAAAACCGGTGTTATAAATCCGTCCACTTTGGAGGAAAGATCGGCGAAAGATCGCCAACCGAACGGAGAGTTGCCTTCTTTTGCACGCTCGATGAATCAGCCGATCGATTTTCGTCGGATACCGAAGCCGATATCTCTAAATGGTCGGTCGATCGGAGGCTACCTATCTCCCGATTTGGAAATCGATCAAACTCAGCGTCGCCACATCACCGATCACGCCAATGCCACTTCGTCTCTGTCTCCGCTATCGATACAACCTACCGGTCGACGAGTTAATTACGAACAGCGAAGGAACAGGTTCGATCGCCGAGACCCGTCGCATTAGCCTATCGCGACGACACGCGATATCACGGGCCGAACCTTCCGCTACCGTTTAGTCAGCCAGAGTGCTGCCCGATGAGTCGAGCCACCCAGGTGCTGTCATTACTCTACTCGTTGCCACGGGATTATCGATCAAACTGATTGCCGCGATGATTTATCGTCGCTGGACGGCTCGGAGCGACCGGTACCACCGATGAAAACTGGCCGTCGCGGACGTGGAACGTTGCAGCCCCGCTCTCTTCATCTTGAGCAATTTCTCGCGTTTCGCGATCGACAGATTAGCGAGGCTCGCGGCGAGCGTTGCACGGATGGACATTGACGAGGAACGAAGGATAACGGCGAACAGGCTCTGCAGCAGCGTAGATTAGATCCTCGTCGGATGTATCGACGCTCCACATCTCTCGTGTGGAGGTCCGATCAAGATCGATCCCTGTTAGGCCTGTTAGGCCCGTGAGTCCGCAGTCCTCCGTGCCAGTTGGCCAGTCGGTCCCGTGTATCTTATTGTGCCATCATTCTCAATTTGCTTTATCGCTCACGCGCGCGCACCGTTACTTTTGCTCACGCGAGCAAGCTCCGCGCGATTAACCTCTCGCTCTCTCGTGCTCGCTGCACCGGCCTCGGAGCTGCTCGATGCCAGGCGCGAGTCCGATCCTCGTTCCCCGCGTCGAAGATGATGCGCGAGGTGATGGCGGAAAACGAACGCGGTCGGCTTTCACGGAAATGGAAAGTAAGGCAAATCGATGAAATCGTAGCTCGCCGACATTGAAACCCGTATCATCGCGACGATGATTCTGCAACGGCGCGTTTCGTTCGTGCATGCGCGCACGGCTTTTCGCTTTCCATCGGGTGATTCAACTTTTCCGTGCGGTTTCGTTCGCGATCGCGTAACGTTTCGCTCCATTCGAACGGCCGGGCCACGGATAATCGCGATTCTCCGCTGGGTATCGCGTTCGACGCTGGAAGATCGAACCACCGATTCGGAATTTTCGAGCGGGTTCGTGTCAGCAGGATGTTGGAAATCTGGCACGCAACGCCACGACCGGCGTGCTCGCGTTTCCGTGCCATTGTCGCGCGATGCAAAGGGAGAGAGAGACGGAGAGAGAGGGAAAGAACCGGGCGGAGAGGGTTGGGGCGAGGAGGAGGAACGAAAATGATCCACGGCTCGCGTGAAAATGCATACACCGCGACGGATCGGGAGCATGGACGTTGGATGATTTCACTGCGGAACCTCTCGTTCGTTCTACAAAGCTGCACTTATCGTGTCGGTTCGTTGGAAACCGATAACGAGCAACGATTAACAACCGCACGCTTTGTACCTACTTCGAATTCTTTCCCCGTTACGATACACCGTGTCGGTATCTTTCATCCAACTATTCGAAAATGAAATAAAACAAAATTCGACCAAAGTTCCCCGTCCGCTTCCGCGTGATTATACGCGTACGTGAGCGATAAGAAAATCGGATCGAGATGGAACGCCGCGATTAACCGAGCCGCGCCGAGCGATAAACCGCGCCGATTCCGCGACGCGCGGGAGAATTAGGCGAATAAAGGTCGGAGGAAGGTCGGAGGAAGGTCGGATCGGGAGTGAAACGGAGCGTAGGATGGCGTGCGCGAGGCGAGAAAAGAAGGCGAGGACAACCGGGTCGAATTCACGAGCAGAGGCCACTTATCCGCGAGCGGGAACGATTACCGCGAGCGTGTGGTGGTTTTCTTCTCTTTCTTCTTGCGACCTCGGTCACGCCGCGGAGCGCGTCCTCAAGAACTCGTTTCGAGCGAAAGAGAACTCGCCCGGCGTAGTGACACGCACGCGGAATACGATTTAAGGCTCGCCTAGTTCTCACGGGGCCGAGCCGAGTCGAGCGTGTTTCGTCACAGCGACCGGTTAATTGCGCGCCGACCCTCCAGCGGATTTCAACCGTCAAACGCCATCGCTCTACCCACTTTTCCGCCATTCCTCCTCCTCTTCTTCTTCTTCTTCTTTTTCTTCTTCTTCCACGTTGTTTTCCCTTTCCAACGCGCCCGTGAAATCATCCATCCCTCGTGGATCTCTAAACGCCTAAACACCGCAATCCCGTTAATTACTCCCGACCAATTCTCGCGACTTTCTTCCAGCTAAACGCTCCATCGTCCACGCGCTTATCGAAAGAAAGCGACGCCTTACGCTCGATTGCGCCAACATATCGAGGACAACCATTTGCCGAATGTGTTCGATCGTTTCACCGATCAGACGTCTAAATCGCGGCGAAGAGTTCCCAGCGAAAGACTCGAGCTAACGATCCATCTCGCGCGAGATTTCGCCGTCTATGAAAATCCCGGATCCCTTTATCCAGGCAACCCCGCGTAACCTCTGTTACTCCGTCGAATTGAGCGATCGAAGG